CTTGAAGTTAAAATTCAAGTTGCTCTTTTAGAATGATGTAGTTGGGTCATATTTTTTCAAATCCTCATATCTTGTGTAATCATTTTCCTCATCTTAACTCGTTGTTGATTTGTAGTACAGTAGTTTCTGTCACAATTTTACCTTTACCATCCCAATTTCCATACCTAGACTTGAGAATCTGACGATCCCATGTATCTCCCCTAAAACAGTGCAAAAAAGAAGTACATATCATTTCTAGAAAAGTATATATAACATTTTAGACAGTGTTGGAGGCACATATTGATAACTGCATGGAATCAGATCAATTTGTAACTGTATTCAAACAACTCTACACTATCGTACAAGTCCAGGAATAAAGTGGGCATGGTCAAGGTCTTTGCCATCGGAGGAGCTCAGAGAACTGGATGGGCTGAGGGCTGGGTGGAGTAAAGGATCGATTACGTATCCTTCTTTTTATGACGATTTGTGTGGGGACTGTTGGCGAGCTCTTGCAGGTTGGGTTTAGAATATTGTACCCTTGACTCTGATTGAATGTGGACAATTCATTTGGTTTCTTCTTGATTATAACATATTATAAGACATTTGCTTGCACATTCAACTTGCGGTTCCTGACCTAAGGTTGCAGAGCAAGTGAACGTGATCCTACTACTGACGTTCCAACATTACATCACATACACGGCTCCATTGTAAACTGTTGTCATTGTTCTTTACCCCAGAGAATGGGTTGTCACAAGGCTAGCGCTGTAACAATAGTTAATACCATGTACACTACCATTCATCCTCTACATGACTGATGGCACTGTCTGGAATGTGAGCCCGAAGGAAAGACCAGAACAAAGATGCTAGACCCAGGACTAATGGCTTTTTGTCTTTGGGAACATAAACAAGCACATTCTTTGACAGACTCGGCGACAACAAACTAGATATGGTAAACACAAATTTAGTTGTTGTTGTTGTTGTTGTTGTTGTGAGATTTCATTTTGAGCCTTGGCAGGGATTCCTGAGAATGTAAGGAGACCAGATATCAGTGCCTGGCATGCTGGCTGTGGAATTTTTTAATAACTTTGCAAGGCATTGCTTAAGTGGTGTGCCATGGAAATATGAATAATTTTTCACTTTTGCTATACTGCACATTCTCGGTAATGTGTACCTTCAATTATAGAACAAACAGCTTTTTAACGTACCTGAGGTAAATCTCCAGTGTAATATGATTGGGAACTTTGCAGTATAATGAACTGCTAAAAGAATATACAATTCATACGTGACATGTACCAATTTTAACAGTGCATATTTGTTACTGCAATAGCAGAGTCTGTTTGAATATTGACTGCCAGAAAATGACCATTTGTGATAAGGTTATGACAAAGACTCAGCAGTTCAAGGAACCTTAGAACCATTCTGAACTATATATTTCTAACTTGCATTGAGACATACGATGGAGAGATTTTCCTTCAGTTGCACTGATGTTCCTTTAGACTGAGTGTCATACTTTTGTGGTAGGAAAATACCAGGGATGCCATAGCTTATTGAATAAGTGAGCAGAAGCTACTGATTACAATTTAATAATGAAACCATCCCGCCTTTTTGGCAATAGAGATCACATACATGTATATCCCGATATTTAAGCTGTGGATATTTGTTTTTACAGGAGAGACAATTGAACTGTATCCATTTATTGGAATTCTGACATTTCTCCGCATCATCTCCATTCTGCCAAAACAATCTTGAGTGAATATGATGTAAACCACTTGACCCAGTTTTAATCATCACACATGGCTGAAATATTTATCCAATGTGGTGTAACACCAGTAATTTGTGTTCTGATGGTGAAACAACATGGCTGCCACTAAGTTTGAGTTATTACTACTTTTACAAACTTCTCACAGTTGTCTCACTCAGTGGTATCCCGCATCATTTATAGACCTTTCTTCTGGATTGACTTGTTTAAACTCTTGGAAAAGAAATGATAGGCGAGCCCAGTTTTGTGCTTGTCCACAATATCCATCGCAGTATTTTTGTCTTGGAATTTAATAACACATGCACAGTCTTTTACTTTAAATGCACACAAACTTACACACACATTCTTGCTTGGGTGTTGCTTTTCTGTCTGCTTATTGATGCTATTGTTTGAGTCAAAGCAGGGAGTTGGCCTCCCTAGCATTCAGGGTGGAGGAGCAGTTACATCATCTCAAAGAGTATGAGTCTTCATTTTTCTACAAACTATGTTCAAATTTATTATTCTAGTAAAGTCATTTCTGAAATAGTTTCAAATGATAGTTTAAGAGTATTATTTTAAGGGTTATTAGTTAGCTTAATATGCTAGCATAGACACCCATATGCTTTCCAGGTGTAGATAAACTGTAGGGGATTATAAACTCATCCATTAAAGCTCTTTTATAGATTTTTATTCTCAGATTCCAGATGTTTTATCCTCCTCTTACCCAACAGCTGCCCCAGTCAGTATCCCACAAATCATCCCTTGTCTGGCAATCTCCCACTCCCCTTTACAAAGTGAATATGTGGATCCCTGACAGATCCCTCCAACTACACTCTGAGGTTGACAGACTCTATAAAAAAAGTGGACTAATATGTTGACTCACAAAGCCATTCCAACTACCTGAGACAATAGTTGCTCTATACTGGTTTCATCACCCTCCTCTGTGCTTCTCTTGTAAGACATTCATGCTCTCTTAACTTGTGTTCGTGCACCGTCTCATTCTTGATATTCATAACTGAGCGTACACTGTATCACTTTACAAGGTGGCAGTGGAGGTGGGGTGTGAGGGTCAGCTGTGTTGGAGCCTCATGAGCTCATGCCACTGGAGAATTGGAGGAATCTCAGTTATCTACACACACACACACACACACACGAGTGTTTGCACACATTTGGATGCATTCAGTCACAGACACACATCTGACCAACAGCAGTAAAGCACTTGCAGGTTTACTTGTCCACATCTTAGATTAACTTTCAAGATTCCCATGGGAGAAGAGGGAAACATGGTAAAGATTGATGAATTCATTATGCTAAACAAACACTGTCTACGCCGACTAAAGTGGCCCTGTGTCGATCAACATTTGGTCCAATCTCAAGACTCAAGGTTAATTCTTATCTTCCAGATGTGGCGAATAGATGAGCAACAGTCGCCTGGCCTGTGCACGATGATAAAAAACATCTGAGAGTTCTGTGATTAGAGAATGTTTTCAGGCGATGAAGGAAAAAGCACGTGTCTCCCAGCAGGAATCTCAGTCATCTCAATTTATGTCTGGCTAGAACTGAGTTTCTCAACTAATGAGGGTAGGATGGATCACAGCTGGAAAAACTGGACTTTTGAAAAAGAACATGAGTACTTGTCAGAGATATTCAATGCACAATCAGTAGCAGGATGCCATAACTCAGTTCCCTGAGATGTGTCTGGTATGTTTGTTTTGGTCCAGTGTTTTTGAAATCTCCTGCATGCATGTGTGTGCATGCTAATGTTACTTCACTGGGGCCCTATGCCCATGTGTGGGTCCCAATGTGTGTGTGTGGCACACTAACCCACACTCACAGTGATCCTTTTCATTTGTGGCCTGGCACTTAGATAGTGAGTCTAGTTGAGAAAGACAGGGACTGAGAGAGACTGTTTGGACCCTGCACAGTGACTCAATGCTAGCTGTCTGCCTGGCACAGATTAGATCAACACTGATGAATATTCAACAGTTGACCACCACCGCCAGAATGGCAGACATCTTCACCTAGAAAAGAGATTGGATGCAGTCTTCTCTCTATAACGTTGTGAAAAAACATTTGTTTACATCTGCTAAAATTTTAAGGGCTTAAGTTTTCATCAGTGATCTGGTCAGTGAAGCTGACTTTAGTCAAATAACCCACTGACTGCAATACAGAGTGGAAATTATTGGATTCATTTTCCCTCTCTGATACTAATTCCAATAGCTAGACATGATTTGGAACACTTTGAATTTTTTTTCTCATATAGTGAAGGTTTATCAAAAATACTAACCAATCAGAAGCAACTTCAGTATCTTGCTCCGTAGTACAGACTCCTTGTGCTGGCAGTTTGCATTCCCTTTCTTGTATTTTCTTGTACAGAACCCTAGTTTGAACCTGCCAAACAGTTTGTGTTTCCAATAGTAACTTAACGGCCTTTCTAAAGCATTGTATCAATAGTGTATTCTGTTGGGTAACATCTTTACTGTTTGTAGCACAGCTTCCTCCCTCAATTCTAAACACCCGCCTTTCACACAAAGCCAGGAACTGTGCTGACCGAAACTGCATCTTACAGGAAGTGTGCGTTTGCGTTGGAGTTTGGTGAATGTCTGAAGAGGTAAAGGTCATCCTTGATATGAGCCTGAACAAAGACAAAACCTCAGCCAAAGACACTCACTGAATGGGAGTTGATGAGAATCTCTAAACAGCCAAAAGATTCAGACCTTTTACAAAGATATTCTAGGTTGTCCTGTTTCAGTGTATGGAGTGTGTGAGGATATTGGTAAATTGAAACAACACAAGCCTCTGTACTTGTGAGTTTTATCAGTTTGGGGTAGTTGCAACAGCTTGGAATTTGTCAAACTCTTCTGTAAGAAAAATGAAATATTCAGTAGAGTCATTGAACATGAGAGTCAGCTCTGGAAATTTGCAATATGTGAGTGATGGTGGCCACCTCTAGCCATGCCTGGATGCTTGCTGTAGGAACACTTAGACGAGTAATTTTAAGTGATAGCTGTCTTATTAAGCTGCGCTTACTGTAACTGAAAAGTTACAGTGTTCTAAATCAGTTATAGATATTTTGGAAGTGATATAAGAAGCATGAAAAGCTGGCTTTCCTGCATCTGATGAACTGTAAATGATTTATTTTTACAAGAGGTTATTTTGTGTTTTACTATTACAATATTAAATGACCACAATCAAGTTTTTAGTACTAATTAGCTGGCTTTCCATTTCCAGGATGTTGTGCTTCTCTGATTAAATTCCTCTCTTCCTCTCTTCCTCTTTCCAGGATGGTTCTCTGGGCAACATAGATGACCTTGCCCAGGAGTATTCTGAGTACTACAACACCTGCTTCAGCGACGTCAACGACCGCATGGAGGAGCTACGCAAAAGACGAGTCTCCCAAGAGCTAGATATGGTAAATCCACAACCCCACAAACTCACAGAAAACTCTAATATCAACATGGTTTGAGCCTTCAAGACAGCCTTCAACGCCAAACAATTGCCCCCCCCCCCCCCCCCACCTTCAGTTTGCATGATTTGAAATTGCCTTGGAAAGCCAATATATTTTTTGTAAAACTCTATATAACTCCACACAAAAAAACAACAACTTTCAAAGCAGTCTTGGGGCTTTGCAGGGTGTAATTTCCACCATCTTAGCCAACAAGCTGGCAAGGAACAACAGCAAGAGAACACATATTAATGTGTTAGGAGCTTTAAAACGTTTCCCCAAAGAAAGTTTCCCTTTTCTGGATTCTGTGAATGTGCTGGTGTTCTGGAGGTCCATGGAGGGGGTCTGGGGGTCCCTTTCATAAGGATGTAGGCTAGTGGGGCACTCCTTTGGTTGCCTAGCTGCGCTCAAACGTATGAAGGAATGCTGCTGTGGGGCTTCTAAAGAGGGCCTAGCTCCGTGCAGGAAACTACCCAGTAGGTCCTTGTATACAAGAGTTGGCGTTGAGCTAACTTCATAATTGCCCTATGACTTATTCATGGGAATTGTATTGTAATTAGTTTAGAACCTTAAGAAAGTGCCATTTTGGCTTAATTTCTTGCACAAATTGGTGGACAAATTGACACTTTGTTGTGTTTTTCCGACATAAGCTTTTTCAATTTAATGGCTCTTCTTGAACATTTCCAGATTAAATACAATTTCACTCACATTGATGACAGGTTGAATCAGCTTTTAATTGTTGGCCCCTCTCCAGACTTTCTGTGCTCGTATATTTTTGTCTATGATTACTGGTTTTCCAGTTTAATAGGAGGCCTTTTTTGCTTGGAGGCAGCCATGTGGTATTGGTTGAGTTGACAGGTATGGCTTAGATGGATTACTGATTTATCATGTTCTTCCCTTTAATGGCCGCAGGCAGACATCCTGTTCTCACAGCTCTCAGAAGAGGGATTGGAAACCATAAAGAAAATCATAACTGTGGATACGTAAATTCATCTCAGTTGGATCGTAGGTTAAGTGTTTTGACTCTGTGTGGCCACAGTCTGTAGTTTTCTATCACGTGAGCTTCACAGTGATGGGGAATTACCTCTGGACATTTTTTTTTATAATTAAGAAGGTTTCATCCTAAGGAGATAAAACATAGGAAGAGGAAGCACACCGGGCAGATTTTGCAGCTCTCTGTAAAAAGAAAAGAGAAAAAGAGCTGACTGGGCCCAAAGCCTGAAGCCCAGCACAGGAGGAGGATAAGGATGTGAACAGAGGAAGACCAAGGGAGGAGGAGGAGGATAAGGGGGATGAGTTGGAGATTTTGAGAGCCTGCAGCTGTCCCTCCACTCTGCAAAGTTTGGCAGCAAAATATAGGAGAGGAGGAGAGATGAAAACATAAAGGGAGGAGAATGGGTCAGACAACACCTTACTGAGAGTTCTTAGAAGTGCAGAATCAACCCACGCTATATGGATTTAGCTTTGCCTCACATTTCAGTGCGGTTGTTTTCTAAAATAAGATTTGGGTAATATCCAAGCCTGTTCCATACAAAGCTACTAAGGGTAGGAGTAAGTTTGGACAAAATGTATCCCCTTTTTTGCAATATACTTTATATTGTGGTAGTAATACACAAGACTAGGTATGGACCGAAATTGGAAGAGCCCGATAGACCAAGATAAAGCAGGAATAAGAAGTACAGAATGGACACACAGTCAAAGGAGAGTAATAAATGACTATCGTACCTTCTCAAGTGCATAGTGGCTGTGAGCCAACACTATGCTGCCGCCTCGCTCAGGACCAATAGCAGATGGTTTGAGAAGGTCACAATGTCCACGGTAATAGGGATACATTTAGCAGGTGGCACTCCTGAGGGACTTGGCCTTCAAAAAGAAACCTGTCACTGGTAAAGGGTACAGGATGGCAGGTGACGCAATCAGTGAGAACCACTCCCTCTCCAGTCATTGTCATCGTTTTTGTCACCACACCAAATTTATAGGTCAGTTCATTTCTATTTTTGTACCTGAATCTTCAAGCATCGCTCCTGCGGTAGCTATTTGGGGCCTAAGTTGAACCAAATGAACTTTGGCGACTTATTAGAGTAAAGATCTCTTTAGCTTTGACCTTTTCCTGGCCTTCACACTGAGACTACATGAAGAGGCTCAAGTCAAGACAAAGGAGGTGCAGAACAAGGGCAGTAAGGTGCAATAAGAGAGGAGTTGAAGGTTACTGTATGATTACTGTTATATTAAAAGTACCAATATGCTTTCTTAAATTCTGAATAGAGAGCTAAAGTTTGTACAGTTCAACGTGGGTCAGCATGATGACATTTACAGAAAATGAAGAAGGTCTTCTATTGAAGTTTCTGATCCCTAAATCTCTCTCAAGTTGACTATGAATTTCTTCTCTCTTTTTTTGGCTCAGCCTTGAGAAAAGTTCTTGCAACACTAACATTTTGTGCTTGATTTCACTTTCACAACTTGTCTGTCAGCTCTTGAGGGGCCTCTTGTTTAACACAATGATAGCTGTCTGTTGTGGTAAAAGTCTATTAGGAGCTGATGATGGAGGCAATTTCAGAGATGGCTATCAATGTACCCACTTCCTGCCTGGTCTCTGCTGGGTTGTTCCTCTGCATCTTCATGTTAGTTTTGAGTATCAGGGACAAAGGGGGGGTTAGATAAACATCCCCCTTTGGGAATTTGACCTATGGATTAGTGTAAGCGCACACAATTTCCCAGCGTTCCTATAGCTGGCGAGAATTTTGCATAGCTCTCTCTGACATGCTGGTTTGGTGATGCATAAGGCTTATTGTATGAAGTGTCAGGAAATACTTAAACACAGCAAAGAGTTGGCAACTAAAACATTGTTTTTAAAGGACAGTTCAATGAAAGGTCGGGTGTTTAGAAAAAAACAAAAAACATGACTGCTCATTGAAAACAACATAATGTCTTAGCTTATATGTCGATGATGTCATTGTATACTTGCATGTCATTTTATTTATTCTATTGGGCGGGTGGATAACCATGGTGGTAGAAAACATCAAACTAAATATTGGCGTGTCACTTGGACCACAGTGATGGAACAGATGAAGTACATCATACACAACCGTGATGGATCGTTTTGGAATTTGTGGTTGTGGAGCAAACCTCTTAACACATTTTTACATGCTGTTAACCATAAAGAGATATTGCAACAGTGTCTGTGGTAACATCCATGTGTAATTTTAAAGTCATGGATAACCTAAAAGTACTTGATGTTTAAATCCTTTGAAGCTTAGTCGAAAATACTTAAGTTGTGTAGCTCTCACTGTTGGCTACATAATTGGAAAATGTTGAACCAATCACGCCTCTTCTGGTGTCAGATTGATCTGCCAGCCTTAGGTATGCTCTGTAATGGTTTTTTAGCTGAGTAGCTTGACAGCTGGGTGGGGGGGTCAGACTCAAGTTCAGACTTCTATTTTGTTTTGCCATGAGGTGAGGAAACAGTGTGGTTAAAGGCCTGCATGAGGTACATTCTTCAAAGTGGGTCAGTTCAGCTGGGTTAAAACTACAGTGAAAAAGAAACACAAACTGACTTGGGAATTCTGCTGCTTATTTGTCCTTTCTACCTTCAGGCTTTTGAGTCGAAACTCCACATGCTCAAACAGCTGCCTTTGTTGCCATAAGATCATTTTCAAACGATGTTGGTACAGCGCCATTATTGGCATAAGCCTTATGGAAAGCGAATGATATATTTGTAATCTTTTATATGATTTATTAGTCAGCATTAGGATTGTGACCCAGTCATTGGAATTTGTAATAACTCTGGTATTTTGTCTCGAAATACCAAAACAATCATGATCCAAAAGGCTTAGGAATGCTCCACACTTTGGAAGCATGCATGCCTAGGCTACACGTATACACAAACACACAAGCACACACTCCCAATCTTTTTGGAAAGGAAGTAAGACGAGGTTTTACAGAGTTTGCTGATAGGTTTTTTGTTTCTCGTAAATAAATGTAGCCATGAAGCAGCACAGAGGTGGCATAGCAATCTCAGGTTTATACCGCCCACTGAGAACATGTCTATCCTGCTTGTGTGTATGAGATGTAAATGGAAATAAGTGCTCGTGTTTAGACATGACATGAGTATACGTGTACAGATCTTCCAATGAGATCTTCCCAATGAGCCGGTTCTGCAGGTCTGACCCGTGCCATACTGGTCCTGTGGGTAACGTTGTTTTTGGGTATGTACCAGGCTTTCCAGTTGGTGCCCGTCCCTCCACATGCACCAGCCCTACCTAGCAGCTTTGCCCGCCCAGATTTACCCAACCACACTCATTGGCTTTCCTCCACTGAGCCACCTGGTCCTAATAGTTTGCAGCATACCCGCCTACATTGGTTGGCAGGAAGTCCACTGTGAAAACTCCTCCTTTGGTGGGCTTTGCAGACATGTTTTAGGCTAAAAAACATGTATTTCCATCTCTTATTTTAATACTAATACTAATACACCTGTACACTAATATTGTACAGGCCTGCTGTGGCAAAGCAGACTTTAGTGATAGTTCTGAGTTAATGATGGAAACCACTGGTAGTGCTTTACAAGAGCTTTGATGCCTCTGTGTTTTTATGCATTCTTGTGTGTGTGTGTGTGTGTGCCCCCAAGTCTTTTCAGATGCTAGCTCACCCTGTTTGCCGACATCGTGATCCTCATTAGCCGCAGCTCTCCCTCGAATGCTCCCTTACTGTCTTCTCTCCCGTTAATTTAACTCGATTCAGTCACGCTTAAGCAATCAGAGCATTGCGATTTCATCACACTCGCACGAACATGCACACCAATTGAATCGTGCGCAAACAACCCTGTTGACATCTGGAGGGGAAGCACATGCACTATCACACGCAAGAAGTGTGTCAATTCAGGGTAAGTAGGCCAGCTTTTCCAAACTGATGCTGGTGAGTTCATATAAAGGATAACATACCCCCTCTGGGAGTGTGTGTGTGTGTGTGTGTATGTGTGTGTGTAGTGAGATCTAAGTCTCCAACACACATACAGACATCCCACTCAAAAATGCATCCATTTGATATTCTCTTTTAGAAACAGTGTCAGTTCCGCTGATTCCAACTTCTTGCCTTTCACTTTGGTTTCTCTGTCTTGTTTCCTTGGGAAGCTTTCACAAGAATGTTCTGTCCACATCCTGGGCTGTGACAAATTCATCTCCCAAATCTGCATTGAGAGGCAAACGGGATGTAGGTTTTTGTTTGTTTTTTTCCACTGATCTCCTCCACATCTTTTTGGTCCTCTAACCCCCTCCTTCCATGTCAGAGATGGCACGCACAGACAGGGAGGGGAGTCAAGGGAAGCTGAGGAGGAGTTGGAAGAACAGAGAGTGGCTTTGTGTCTTTGGCTCTCTTAGGGGCTCTGTCTGTGGAGGTGGAAGTGAGATGAATGTGTGGGCAAGTAAAGGTTCTCCTTGGTTTTGGGCGTCCGTCTAGGTTTATGTCTGTGTTGTCCATGTCTGTGTTGTCCAGGTGTGTTTGCAAGGAAGTGGGCTAACAGTATTGCAGTGTGTTTTCAATAATTTTTACAACCAACTAGCATAGTTTCTGTAGCGTTTCATTGGCAAGAATGGCATACCTTTCCTGTCACTGCAGAGAAGCCATCAAAGAGGATCTGATAGCAAAACCAATCTTCTGCTACCTTTGTGAACGGCCTCACTGTGCCAGTGTGTGCATGTGATAACACACCTTGTTCCTTCTTGATGTGGGTTTTTCTGAGTACATCCACATTATTTTGCCCTGTGCAGTTGTTTAAACAAAGCTGGCTGCCAAACGCTTGGCTTGTTTAAGGGATATATGTGTTGTTTCTGTGTCTCACATAAGCTCTGCCACAGTTAGAATAACGCACATTGGTATGTCCCAGATTTTCAAGCCTGTTCCTCTTTGGTCTGGTACAAGCAGTTTTTTTTTTTTATGTCCTCAAAGAGGCACCTGCACTTCAACTTATGGGAGTCGCCATATTCCCTGGGATGGACAAATAGTTTCAGAGCTCTTCCGACATAGCTTGATTTACTTTTCCGAAGGAACTTTCGGACCCGTGCCTCGTCTGCTTGATCACTGTAACAGACAAAACTGGCAAATAGGCCAGGAGGACTTGTGGTGCTCAAGTTAAAGATAAAAGCCAGCCAGACTGTCTCACAAACACCATTACTGTCTGCATTCAGTTGATTGTGTGTTGAGATAAGTGTAGGGTTCAGGCTTATTTTGATGCTTTTGACAACCTCAGCACTAAAGGTCTCCTGCTCCTTTGACCTGCAGGCTACAGGCTCCTTAAAGAGCTCTTAAAAGAACTCATGTCACTTCCTAAGTTCTTTCACTGTAACCCACTCACTGACTCATGCTTAGAGGGTGGAGAAAGATTTTACTCCATTGACCAAGGCCCAGTGAAAAAAGAATAAAGGTGCTACTACAGGTCACTCTGATTATTAGGAAGCTTGATGGACCATTAAGTGTTCTAGAAACAGCTTCCTGTGACTGCAATCCCACAATACCTGGATGTGTGTGGACGGAGAATGATGCACATTTCTCAAACACGACTCATTTCCTTATTCTGCGCTACATTTGGGGAAACTCCAGATTTAATTTCTCTTTCCCTTTCTTGCAGCAGCAGCAAGTGCCACTTAATGGTTTAATGAAGTTGGACACTTTGCAGCTGTAAATATGCTTCAACTGACCAAGCCTACTTGGCTTATGTCTTCTTTAACTGGGATACCTCCTGCAGTATGACAACTTAAAATGCAACATTGACTTCCACGCTGAGGGACTTGTAACTGTCCAATCAGGAAAGGATAAGGAAATTCATTACAACTGAAGTGTCCATCATTAGTGCATTTCACAAAAGGCATTGTCATGTATTAAAGTAGTCTAAAGCCTTGACAAAAATACATTTACTCTTTTGAGGGTACCAAACCTTAGTGGTATGCAAGGGAAAACATAATCTGGGGTTATTTCCTTTAAATCTAGTTTCATTTCCTATATACTAAAAAACAGATCAGCAGTTCTCACCCGTGTATCAAAATAAAATGGTAGGATCAGAGGTTGCATTGTGGGATTTTTGCTGTCTTGTAAAATATTAAATGTCAGACAGAAACTAAAAATAGGAACTTGTCATTGAGACCCAATGACCATGACGTTGACTCTTCCTCACCAATTGCCCAAAATATTTAACAGAGAGGTCATTGGGAAGCACATTTCCTTATATAACTTTGACTAAAACATCATGTTACCTGACCTTTTGATTTAATTTTGCATGCCTTTTTATAACCTGCCCTGCATACTTCATATTAAAGCCAGCTAAATGTATGGATTATTCTCAGAATAGTTTTCATCTCAGTTTTTGTGCTTGGAGCAAGTATTAGGGGCTTGGTTGTCCTTGGTTACCCGTTAGCTCATGACAAAAGGATTAAAGTCCCAACAATAGAAAAGAAACAAACTTGACGTTGTACAATGTGTAACAAAATGGTCATATAGAATGAACACTACTCACAGTATTGTGACCTCTATATAACAGTGCAGGCCTGTAAGTTTTTAGTTTAAAAAAAATCTGGTTACCACCACAGAGCAAAGTGCTGATCCCATCTGTTTCTGTAAATACCTCAGTGCCAGACTGTTGCAGCATTTGGCAAGTGTGAGTACAGGGACTTCAGTAATCTCCTTCTTGAGAGTTCAAAAAGCACCCAAGAACACACAACCAAGAAAGTATGCCCTCAACCAATCCCTTAAGGCCAGTCTTTGGCTTTAAATAATCACATGCTGCAGGTTAAAATCCAAGCTGCAGACTCGTTCGGGGATTGTATAACCCTTTTTGTTTGTCTGCAGAAGCACTTGGGTTGGGGCACATCTGCATCTGGATATGCCATGATGAGGAGACCTGTTTTATGCAAGCGCCCTGTGCAATGGCAGAAACAGCCCTGACAGAATTTATGGGTTGGAGACACTCAGCAACGTTTAGACTAAATTGCATTGTATTAAGTTAAGTTTGATGTTATTTCCCCCATTGTTTCAGTACAGTCTTTTAAATAGTTTTGTTCTCTTAAATTCATGGTCAACGTCTCAGTTTGCCCATTTGGAGTGCTGTATTTCTAAAGATACTGGCAGGTGTTTCCTTGTACTTAGGGAGGTGCACATTACCGTCATTGTGGAATCCATAAAGCCAGTTACGTAGGTGCTTCTAACATGTCTTGGTGTGTGAGGAAAGCCAACACTCCACAGTGGTATTCACTAACAATCAGAACAAGTATTGCAAGTTTGTGAAGCCAAGGCGTGACTTGATGCGTCTGGGTAGGTCCGTGGTGTGCACGCACGTGCTTGTGTTTGTTTTCACTCATATATGCAGGTGTGTCTACATGAACCTGACTGATAAACGTCCTTCACACATGAGGGCATTGTTAAACATACCTTCCAGTGCTTCTGCATTCAACTAAACCCCTTTGCCTCTGTTTTTTGTCTTGTTTTAATTTAAAATCTTCCAAATTCTGTGCTCAGATTTTCTAGAAGTGCATTGATTTTTGACTTTGTCTCTCTTTTCTCTCTTTTTTTTCCCCAGGAGAAACAGGACCCAAGCAGCACATCCCTGCAGCTTCGTTCAGAGATACAGGTAGATGGAGATGCTATGAGGACAAATAAAGGGACTAACGTGTGTCAAATATAAATATTTTCAACATTTGATTAAAAAAGTCAACCTGACACCGGCCTCCTTCTGTCTTTCTCCAGGAGTCTTTAGGCTTCAGCAGCGAGGTGTCCACTCCAGAGACAGACAGAAAGTATGTTGTTTTTTTTCTCTCTTTCCATTTTATCACTGTGACATGTGACTGGAGCCAGTGTGAAACCATGAAATATGCTGGGATTGAAATGTGTGTCTGTTGCATGTCAAAACAATGTGCCCCACAACCTGTGTCTGGAAAGCATCAAACCGTGCATGACTGTCACACTGAGCCTTCTGCACATCTGAAGCAAATGATGGAGAGGTGTAAATGGAAATACATGCACCTCCATATGCAGCTGGTGTGATTGATAGATCTCTTACATGATGACCTGTTTAAAGGGGTGCTGACCTTGCCCATAGGGAGTAAAGGTCAGATCCTCAGGTGGGAAAAAGTAGTTGTAGATGAGTTTGTACCTACTTAAAAATACATACCCATTCAGGCAGGCAGATATGTAAATTGTCTTTCTGTATGTTATTGCAGTAAATTACTACAAATTCTTTATATCTCTATCTCAACAAAATGAAAGGGATTCTTATAGAAACATACATTTTGTTTAAACTTCACCCATCATATTGTAGACTGTTTTTTAATGTTTGTAATTAGGAGCTTTGTATTTTAGTAACTGAGACACATTAACCTTACATAATATAAGAGTAGTTTTGTAAATAATTTTGGTAAATATGCTTCTCCACTTTGTCAAGAATTAGTTGAAAAGATTGATACCACTGTCTTCTAAGCTATTGTAGCGGCTGTGAAGGTTAGCTTAGCTGAGCACAAAGAGAGGAAAGAAAAACAAATCAAGCCTAGCTTTTTCTAAAGGTAATAAAATCTGCACACACACAACTCTAAAGTTAAATAATAAGCCCCTGATAACTTTTTGTTTCTTTTATTTACATTCACAAATTTTTTTCAGACCTCTATTACACACAGTACATTCCCTTACTCAATTAATTCCACACTGCAGGTATTAGCTGAGAACAAATACATTATGTTAATGACATCAAATCTCATTGATATTAGGAGGAAGTGTCAATAAAGAAGTCGACCCTTGGCAATCATACATAAGACATGTATCTGGCCCTTTAAGCCTTTTTCCGTCACATCCCCGCTGTGGTTCAAAAGGAAAACTACTGACTGCTTCCTTGGGCTGACCTGCTCGGTCCTAGCAGCCCTTCTCTGTTCCCTGGCCGTCCATGCTTCCTTCCTGCCTTTGTGTCCAGAAGGGGAGACATAGAGTGTGATGGCCGAAAGATTACAGCAATGGGGGCATGAGCGAAAGAGCAGGATGGAACCACGCATGGGTGGAGTTCCTTTTCACTGGTTCCTGAAATACAAAGTCTGTGTCACGTCTTTGCACAGCAGACCGTGTTTTGTGTGTATGAAATTTCTGCACCATTGCCCATCATGAGATCATTGTTTTACACCCCTTTTTAGGTGCTGGATTTGTAGGATTTATTGTTTAGGTTAAACATGGGATTGAATGATTTTGCTGAGGACAAGATTACGAGGAAAGATCTCTATACAGACGTAGCTCCTTAGTGTTTGTTAGAGAGCAGCCGCCACATTTGAAGAACAGATTTAGCAGAGGGGACTGATAGATTTATTGAAGAAGAAGAATTGAAGCCCCATCGCCATTTTTGCCAGCAGCAACTATATCTTACTCTGACCCCAGCTTGATCACATATTTCATTTCTCATGCTGTGCATTTATTCATGACCATCACCCTTTGCGTGACCCCAAGTGGGACTGTCATGTTCACGTGACAACCACGTGCAGCAAAGGAAGCACATACCACAGACATGAGCTCTTCTCCCATGGCTGCTTATGTTACACTCTCGAAATGCTGAGGTTGATGGGAACCAGATGCCAAATGTTGGAATGACGTCTCTCTGCTGATTGAGAGGGTCCCAGAAAGAGCCCCCTTAAATCTGTTGTTCTCTCTCTGCCCTGTCAGTCTGCTTTCTGTCCGTCCTCGGGTTCTGTACTCGTATGTTTCGCTCACATAAACATTCACACTTTGTCTCAACTTGAGCATCTTTCATGTGCATCCTTCCATCCTTTTATGTTGTCTAGCTTTCTATATAAACACCCATCTATCCTATCTAGCTGCTATATTTAGTTATCTAGCTAGCTATCGTGTAAGCGAGGTAGCTTGCCAGACAGAACATGATGATGAACACCAGTGGAAAAAATGAATTTAAAAAGATGAAAAAATGCCAAAGCTGGCAAGAATTCAAATTCTTGCTAATCTCTCATCCCTAGGTAGGTAACATTCTGAGTGACTTACAGGAAAGCCCAAACCGCCATTTCTGTGCAAGCACAAAATGAAAACTATTTTAAAAAGATTTAAGTGTTTACTGAAAATGTGCCCCATCCACTGTTTTGACTTTGCTTCTGGTATTGTGATTTAGTGATGGACGATTCCCCTATAATCACAGCGACCCATTCCTCACAGCCTCACACACAGACATTTACACACACAACAAGATACGGATACCCCCATCATCACCTCACTGCAGGACAATGGCGCCCAGAGGAGATTACCCAGACTTCATCTTGGGCTGCTCCAGACCCCCGGCCCCCCATTCTGTCTGTGTGTCTCCTCGTCGTTGGCAGGAGGTGGGCATAGCTCTCATAATGCCTGGGATGTGAGTGGTGATGACAGAGCACCATCAGAAGGCCGAGAGGTTCAAGCTGGGGGCTTCCTGTTTTGAAGGGCGACGGATTAGTGGCCATTTATGCTAAAAGTGTATCAGTTTGGTCAACAATGGAGGCAAATGGATCTTGATGAAAGCTCACTTGTGCTACTTGGAGACACAAGTTAGAAGTTGTTGGCTCTAAAAGGATTTTGTAAGATTGTAAGTGTTGAGACAGTTGCACTACGGGAACCACAGCTTGCATAACAAATAATCAGATGGAAACGTAATCCGTCCCATGTGAAAAAACCTGTTAAGAACAAGAGCACCACATTGGAAAAACTGAAGTACCTTGTCAGCATATTGTAGCTTAGTCTTGTGAGACTGGAGCACAGCAAATACATTCATAAGCACAATAATGTGATTTTCTGACTTCCCCCTCTATGCGACTTATTATGACCCTCTCCCCGACCCCTGAAGAGGTCACCCCTCTGCACTTCCTGTCATAGCCTCTGTCACACAGGGTCCCCAGCCTTTGATTTTTTCAACACCTCGCACTGCAGGTGGACGGCCCTGTAATCACACACTAAATCACCACACACACATGCGCACACACACAAATCTATCCGCAATGCTTGGATTAACACTGTCTGCAATAAAAACAACAGAGAGAGGGAAACATGGAGAAGAACAGCTGTGCGTTAACAACACACTGTTCTTCTGGATTTACTTCTTTTTTTTTTTTGGACAGCAGCTATGTCACTCAGCAGAGAAGACCTGTTAGACATGTGATTCATGCTGTATCAGGTGATAGTTGACTACGCAATCATCACGTTTTACGCGTTATTGACCTGCGTGTGGTTCTGTGGTGTTTTTTTTTATTTGTGCTTGTGCATAGCATACCCCCATTTTTCTGCTAGATTACTTGTGATTCCTCCCTACAGCTCTACTGCCTCTACTACACACTCACAGGTTATAACTTAAAATGATTAGTTTTAGCATACCAGCAAGGTAAAGTCATGTCAGAGACACATCAATTTAACAGTGCAACCTTGTAATTCAGGCATATCTCCTATGTCATTAACCTATGATTTAACACAGAACATTTTGACAACGCAATGCAAGAGTCATAGCAAGCAACTTTCACCTGTCCTGTAAAGGTTCAGCAAAAGTTAGATACTGTACAGTACTTCATCTTATGCAGAAAATACAAACTTGGCTTCTTATGCAAATGAGATAAAAAGCAGTTAAATGTCTCACGCTCAATGAAAAGAAATAGAAAGGCATGGCAAAGATTTAAGGTTAAACCAATTAAGATGCCTAGCCGCACAAAGCCTGGACTGACACACTCTTTGAAAGACATTCAGGGGTTTTTAAAGTGTGTGTGTGTGTGAGTGCATGCATGCATGTGTGGACACTTAATTTATAGAGCGTGTAGGAGGGGGAGGAGGAGGGCAGATCTGCCACAGAAAAGCTTCTATTGAACGAGTTCTATTAGCATTAGCTTTGGCCTTAGCCTATCAGAGAGAGAGGGGATGCACAGAGGGGGCAAAACCATACAGGCCTCCATTCAATTAGCATCTCATTATGTTGCTATGGCAGCCAGGCTTTAAGCTGCGTGAAGATTTTCTCTTGCTCTCAGAGATGGCTACCATGTCTGAACAACACACATGGAAAAATAGGTACACACACACACACATGCAGGCAGGCACTGGAGAGGGAAGTGACTTGTTCATTTTGTTTTGGTCCTGTCACACACTTAACTATTGCTTCTCTGGAAGCCACCGGCGGTTGAATGCACATGTGCACTCCGCTAACATCATGAAGGGTGAGTGGATAAGTAAAAGTTGCCTCTTGGGAAGACATTAACCTAAAAGGTCTGTGAGGGTCTCAACTGGACAAAAAATATGTCCCTTTGTCTCCCTTTTCACCACACACTGTGCAGATACCATGATTCATGATCAATCAACAAGCAAACGGCCTTTATACTGTAGATATTGAAAAATAGAAATGCAAAATGAAGGATAAGTGCCATATTAAGGCAAATTAAGTTCTATTGCAGTATCAATGGTATCCTTGCTTATAGTGTTTTTGTCAAAAGAAAACCCCCAGTCTTCAAACGCGATCAATCACTAAGTAATGACTCGTCATCATCACCACATGCAACACAGCTAATCAGGGTTGAAGCTCCTCGGCCTCTTTATTTTATTGCTCAGCCCACTCACTCTGATCTGAAAAACGTTCTTTCCTTTCGTGAAGTTTTCAGTTGCAGCTTTCTTTGAACATGAACCACTGAGGCCCCACCCCCTTTTTTAATAAAGAAGACACAAATAGATTTCTATTGATGTGGTTTTTTAGACTCCCCAAGAACAAGAGAGAGTCGTCCACAGCTAACAATGCTGCAGACAACTGGTTAAGGCTTCTTACACGTGAATATTGATTGCTGTTCAAGGTTTTTACGAGTTGTTATTTATCCCTGTTGGGTCTGATTATTATTTGGGGAGGCTTACCGACATGTCAGGACTTTTTTTTTTTTTCTTAACTCAGTTATTTTCCATTTCTCCCTCCTCTCCCACTCTTCTCTCTGTCTTCCTCGTGACGAGGGACGTGGAAACACAAACAGGCTGAGTCTGCCCTGTGGTTTCTCCTCCTTCTCTCTTTCTCTCTCGCTTTCTCTCTCTCTCTCTCCTGCTTCTCTCTTAATTCCATACTTACCCTCTCCACTTTAACATGATTTCCCCCATTTTATATATTTTGATGATCTTGCTTTCTTTGCCGCCTCTTAAACACATATATTACCTCTCCTCTCCTCTCCTCTCCTCTCCTCTTCTCTCCTCTCCTCTCCTCTCCTCTCCTCTCCTCTCCCTCTCCCTCTCCTCTTCCTCTCCTCTCCCTCTACTCTCCTTCTTCCTCTTCCTCCTTTAAACCTGAAGAGCCTGGTTTACAATCACAGAAGTACCTCCACTGACCTCAAGTGGTGAACAGACACAATTGCGCCCCCTCCTTTGGCCAAAATGGAAATATTTATGGCCTAAGTGAAGGTTTTTGAAACACTGGTTGATAGAGATAAAAATGTATATATATTAAAAAGGGCTTTTTTTCCCCTAACTTGCTTCTCTACTCGTATTCCCACAGAATGCCTCTGCACAAATCCAGCTCTGAAGATGGCTCTGGAGGTAAGCTGAGACAGGTTTTCATAATGCATTGTCTTCTGCTGTGTGATTGTTTTTTGCCTGTAAGAGTAAGATTCAAAGAAAGGAATAGCTAGACATGTTTGCATGAACTTTATTGTTCCAAGAAAAAAATGCAAATATTTTACAACGGTATTTGCCTATCTTGAATAAAAGTCATTTGAGGTCTATGGACAGATTCATGTCTTTAGGCACACAAAGGGAATATCGCTGCATATTTGTTTGTCAGTTGATGCTTCCCCCTGTTTCACTTAACCTTCCCTCCTTTTAGGTAAATGGGACAATAAGAAGAAGAACAAATCCTTTTGGCAGAACTTCCGCAAGTCTCAGCACAAACCAGTTATGCGGCAAACATCCAAAGGTTTGTGTGGATTCATTTTTCAGATCTACATTTCTGGAAAGATTTTGCCATAATGTGACCTTATGGCCTTTTCATTTCAGGAGAAGACATTGGCTATGTGGCCAGTGAGATCACCATGAGTGATGAAGAGCGAATTCAGCTAATGATGATGGTTAAAGAGAAGATGATCACAGTGGAAGAAGCTCTAGCTCGGGTAGGAAGCTCCTCTGACCCGCTGTTGCACCTTCCTCCTCCAACCCCCCCACCCCACCCCGTTGCTCCCCTCAACCCACAGACCTCCCCTTGGATTTGTTAACGCTCCTCCCATCACTTTTCTCCTCTGGATTCCCATCATAGCCCTAGCTTACTAAAACGACTCACTCTTACTAACCTGTACCAGGCCCTGCATTTTAACCTTGCTTTGTCCTCTTTAAACAAACACACACAAACACACACACACACAAACACACACACACACACACACACACACACACACACACACACACGCACAAACTAAAGGCATTATTAGTGCTCCCAGGGAATGGGAGTCTGGGGATTTCAGGGTCTGAGCTCATGGAGTGTGTGTGGGTGTGTTCGGGTCATAACCATGGGGTTGATGGTCATAGTAACTCAATAGCCCCCTCTGTTGGCGGGGATGCTCTGGTGCATTGTGGTTTTTCTCTCCAGGTGTGGACGTTGTGGATTCCTTTGCTTTCATTTAAATTCTCCTTCATCTCTTTCTGACCTGACTCTAAATCAGTCTCTGGTGATTGGTCTTTATTCTTTTGTTGTTTTATTTTTTAAACTTTTTTTCTACCCTCTTTCTTTTCCTGTCAATCACCTTACAACGCCTTGCTCATGGATAGCATGACTGCACTTGAGCACATGATTGTTCTCCACAAGGCAGATGTAAATTATTTTCTTACAGAACTTTGATTTCCTTTTGGCCAGTAGCTTGAACCCTGCTTCTGATTGACACTCAGTTAAGCCAATCAATAATCAGCCTTTGTGGATAGCTGATTTGACGCCTTGTTGTGCTTTTTGGGGTCTTTGTTTAGCGTGTTCTTTGTATTCCTGGCAAGTTTTATATTGGTCTTTATTATTAGGTTTTATTTTAATTGTATGTATATCTCTGGGGATGTAGTGGACTAGCACACTTTAATAATTTAGATTTGTATACTTTCATTAACCATTTTTATTTATTTTCTATTTATTTTATTTAAGATTTCTTTACTCTCTGCATTGCAGACATAAGGCTTCATTTTGAAAAGTTGTAACGCAAATAAATCAATGCAATCTGAAGAATAATATTGATATCTGCATAAAATATGAGTCTTTAATTTGATGGTTCTCATGCAAAAAAAAAGCTTAAAGTTGATAACCACTTACACTGTTTATTCACCACTACATCCCTGGTTGAGTTCCTCTGTTCTATCCATATACATGCACTATATTTGCACATGGTTGACGTGAATCAATCATCTGCTCATGTATGGAGAGATGTAGCATGCTCGGTGAGAGTGGGTTGCCCCGTCCTGTTCCTTTGCCTCTCTAAACTGTTCTTCTCCACGTAGCTGAAGGAGTATGAGCGCAGCAGACAGTCCAGCAGTACTGAAACTGCAGAGTGGACTGATGGATCTGCGGCCAATCTTAACCAGTCCTCAAACTGCAACGTAAGTACACCCCACCCTATCACCCTCCCACACCCCGTTAAACCCTGACCCCTTCCCTTTTACTCTACCTCCCTGAACACTTTCACCTCGACCACTCTCACCTTTTAAGTTTTTTTTTTTCAGCCAACAAAGTGTGGAGGAGGACTACTATTGTTTTTCTGACATGTGTGCAAATGGATGAGTGTGTTTATTAAGATGTAACGGAACCTACTAGATTGATATCTAAACAGTACATTCTTCATGTAGCGATCCCTTTTTAAAAACATTTTTTGGGCCAGTTTTACATGCCTTCAGTGAACTTTTAGTGTTTCGTCCTCTTCTTCTCCTCTTCTCTCTTTCTCTGTTCTGAATTCCTGTTCAAACTACACTATATTTTTGTCATTGCACATGCGTTCTCACAGTGATGTCATATGCGTCTTATGGCATGGGTTTGACCACTGTGAATCTCGGACCATACAGCAAATGGTACCCATGTTCTTTTGACATTAGACTCAGAGTGGGAAGCTACATTAATAATATTGTAATGCTGTGTTCAAAGTCAAATCATAAAAGCAGGGAGTCTGATAAATCTTCGTTGATTTGTTTTTGTTAATGTCAAAAATAATAAAATAATAACAATTGGGAGAGACATCAGGTCATGTCATAATGAAACCTTTAGGCAAATGCTAAAGTTTGCATTACACCACTTTCTAGCTAACACAGCCTAACATAGGCCTACATAACATTTGAAAGTCTAACACAGCAAAATACAAAAGGTATTGCAAGCTAATGTTATTTTAAACTAGCTAATAGTTATGTTAGCTAGCCAACGGTCATGTTGTCTTGCCATGTATTGTAGTGTTAGCATAGAATTAATACAGTTACATTTTTATAATTTTGACATACTAACTGACATTACAGTTTAGATAGGGTCAATAAGCTGTACGTTTTAAAAACTAGCTAACAGTCCTATTAGTTAGAATTTTGTTCAACGCTTACAATAGCATTAGCGCCGTTTCTTGGCTGGTTGCACAAGCTATCACATTTACCCTGAAATATTTCTAAATTTTCACTGTCAGTTGATAATCAGTCAGAAGCAGTAATTTGATAACAAATGGTAAGGGTATACACATTTCCCAACCTGGGCGTGGGAGGAAAAGGGCTGCTATGTGAATATTTTTTTTGCTGCATTTGGAATGGAGTCACAATACAATTTTTTATTTTTTATCAGGTTTATGCTGTCACGGGTATCTCATTTTAAACTTGTAGGATGACAGAAAACTGTCTCATGGAAATTTAAGTAAGGTCCTGTAACTTGCTAAACTCCAAGTGGATATTCCCATGAAATCTTTTGTAGTGTAAGCTTTTATTGGCGGGGATTTTGTCAGCTGCGATCCACAGAGAGAAGACATCCAAACCTCATTTCTCACCTTTGAGTGAGTCAAGACCTTTGAGTATTCTTTGTGTTGTAGAGCTGGAGCTAAGACAATCGAGCACTGTCTGATGCAGTTTGTTGTGTCGACAATCAGCCAATTTCCTCTTGTGTGTGTGCGTGTGTTTGAGTATCTTGATGTTTTTCCTTCTTTTTTTAAATGTAGGTCACTTGAAGCATATTCAGAACTCAAAGTGGTCACAGCAGTTTTTCATTTTGTACTGTATGGCATCATGTGGGAGTGGTGAGCAGTCATACAGGCTCACACACTGACCCACTTTTTGACAGGATGTGAGTTTATCCAAACACAAAAATTCTAAGTACTGTGAAAATATCTCCCTGCACACTTGCATTATTGCTTTGAAATGTGCTACTAACTCCTGACTACACACAGCGCTGACACTTCTGAAAAAAAGCTTCCCTTCATCCTCAGAAATTCATGTGAAGTTGATGATTTTGTTAAATTTACTGAAGGGTGTGCAGAATTGTTCACATAGAAGCTACTGCTGCCACTCTCCCACTCCAGTTAGAGGTTGCATCAATAAACTCAAGAAATCAGATTGCAACTGAGTCAGTTAAACAATGAACAAGTAATTGTGCAATTTCTTTTTATTGCAATAAGTTCTTCTGCGTGATGAAAGACAATTCTTGTGAAATTAAATTTTTATGACGCCAAACATTACTTCAGCTTAGGTTTGTTGGCTTTCTGTTAACTGTGCATAAGTTTACTGATCATCTTTACAGTCTTTTGTCCCTTTGCTGCCAGCTACTCACTTCCTTTGGGGCCGAAGATTGATCCATTGGCTGGGCTTTACAGACTTTAGACAGGATGGAAGAGTTACTGGAGGAGTATTGTGTAGAGGAACACACAACTTGACTCTGGAGGCCGTGAACAAGGGCAAGAGCTTGAGGCAGAAAGGAAAAGAGGGAGCGACATATAGAGAAGATAAAAACTTTGTAGTTACCCCAAGGCCTTGCAAAGGGGGTGGAATATCTGCTTTGAGATCCAAAATTGGCCACTTCAGGAAATATTGCTTCTCTGCTGGGGCCTGTATTGGTGTCACGCACTGCCCCCTCTTCCATCTAATAAATGGAATTAGGTCATTCCCAAATTCAAATAGTTGGGCGTGTCATACATATATGTGAATATACAAGACATGTAACTGAAATGTTCCTATATTGAATCTTCAGCTCCTCTGTGCCGTTCTCTGTTGCTGTCTTCTTCCCTCGGCGATCAGAGGCCACATTCCAGGACTGGCCATTAGTGATGTGGGGGCCAAGGCAGGGTCAGAGGGGCTCAAACGCTGGGATTGTTCTCCATGCACAACACGCCTTTTCTCTGCTAGCTGTGCGGCACGGTGCTTCCAAACTGCCCCTCATTCCTCAGAGCTGAATGCACGAACAGGCAGCATCTGTATCCGCAAGCATGAGCACAGGGGCACGCATACTATTTTTGATTTTGAATGTTTGAGAATGTGGTCGGACGGGGCGCGCTTCGGATTTGGCCAGGTCCACTCTAGTGAACCTGTTGGATGTTAACACCGGAAGTGGTACCCTTCTCTTTTAAAAGAGGTGGTAAGTTTTCAAGCTTTGATCCTTTTTAACATTTTTAAGAGATGGTAGATTTTTGGTTCTATCACAAGGATGTTGATGTGGAGTTTCCTTAGTTAATGCATCCCCACAGTGATGGGAATGATCCGTGAGGTATTATTATAATAGACTGGTTGCTCTGACCTTGTTTTTGTTGGGACCCTGCTTGATTCATGGCCTCTTATGTTTGACTTCTTGCTATGTGTGTCTTGTGCCCAGTTTAAATGGTCATCTCAATGGATGGTTTTCCTCAGGACTGTGTAAGAGAACACATCCTGTTGGTAAACCATGAAATGGAAAGTGCAGCTGTCTGGCACATTGTTCTGCCCACATATCAGAGCCTACTTTTATGAGACATACACTTTTTTTCCATTTCTAAATACAGTTTATTGTTTATTTTTTTTAGAGGAATCAAGATGTAGCAGTCGCCTCCAAACCAGCCTTTGGTGATCCAGCTCATCTCAGAGTCACTGCATTGCCTGTTTTAACAGTTGTCTTTTACAGTCTTATTACATTCTTACGTTATATTCTCCGAATTAATTCACAGCAGATGGAAAGTTAAGTGATTCACTACTGTAGCCAGACTTATGTTGTTCAGTTGAGTTGTTATCATGGAGTTATTGATTTTCCGACCCTTTTTTTTTTTTTCAGTTTTTCAAAGCCCAAATAAATGTTTTTATGCTAGCTCTGGTCTGCAACAACTGTTTAACTATAAGCAAAGGAAGCTACATGTGAAAGGATGCACCTGAATGATGCCATATTGATGAAGCTTTTGCACACAAAATTAGAAAGTAACCACATGTCTGTGTTGGTTTGGTCAAGGAGTCTCGGAAAGTCTGTTTGACCGAACCAAGCCGCAGTTGTTAACATCATCACCAGTGCATGTCAGCATCCCCTGAGCCAGGCCTGTGGTCTAAACTCCACAAAAGTAACAAAGTGGTTACTTCCTTGATAGCACCAGAGCTGCAGGAAAAGATTGTCAGACAGAGAGCCGAGCCCTGCAGGCCTGCCCTGTCTAGTTCAGTGTGTGTGTGTGTGTGTGTGTGAGCGCTGGAGCATGAATATGTGTCCCTTTTGCAAGCGATGCAGTCAACCTCAACCACGGAGCTGGCAGTGTGTGACTAGAAGAAGGCCGTGTTGCTATGGAAACCAGTGGCAAATAGAAACAAATTAAGTTGTTTGAGCTCTATGATAATGATGTAGTTTCTGCCAGAAAACTCTTCGGGGCCAAAGTTGGCTCATCAGCATCATCATTATCATCCTGTGGAGGCCATAGCGATATTGTGTGCACCCACACGGGCCTTCACATACAGCTTGGGGAGTTTTTGTGTGTTTGTGTGGGTGTGTATGAGTGATGAAACTGTTGGTGACTTCATTATTCCATCTTTTTCCACGCCAATGCTCTTCGCAGAGTGTTTGAATTCAGTGGACATCAATGAGGATAAAATGTGGATGCCAACACCCATAACATACAACCATACATCCTTCCATTTACAAACATAATGCCAAACAGACCATTTACTGAAACACTGATTTATTGTGACATTCACTTGTGCCCATTTTTCTGGTTCATTATTTCAGTGCAGTTTTATTATCTTTGTTTACTCCACACAACGGCATGACACAATGCCACCACCCATCCAACACTCCACCTTTCACCTCACTAACTTTGACTCCATCCTAAACAACCATCTTTCCCAACGTTTCAAAAATTTGGAAGACATTTCTCCATTTGTTTTCCCGATACAACCACACATTTCTCTTACTTGTTTTCTTCCTTAAAGTAATTGAGAGGAGCTTGGATGCCTGTCCCTTTTTTATTTTTTATCATCCCTCCCTCTTTCTCTCTCCCACCAGTCTCGTGAGCAGTCAGACGATGAGCAATCAGAGGATTCTGTGAAGTTCAAGCGGCTCCACAAGCTGGTTAACTCGACCCGTCGGGTCAGGAAAAAACTCATCAAGGTGGAGGAGGGCAAGAAACATGGCTCTGAAGGTTTGTACCATTCGGGATTTATTACTTATCCCAAATCATTTGACTAATGTTCGCCATATGTCATGTTGTATATGTTATAGTGTGGTTTCCATTCAACTCTGCTTGTGTTGCTTGTCAAAAATGTGCTTTGAACACCTATGTTGAGCGGTTCATCATATCTTAATTGGAGCTAAAGTTAAGTTACAGTACAACTAGTTGTACTCTAATGTCATTGACTCCTTTGCAGAAATGAGGATACTTTTCTTTTATGGTCTGTGTATAACATTCTCATCTGGATGTTAGTTTTAACCAATACTCAGACTAAAAGAATGTGCTGTGGAAATGTTGCTGTCTAGCTGTGGTTTGGAAAACCACAGATGGGTCATAAGATGTTCTCTGTATAAACACTCCTGAATAACAAACTGTTTTTGTCATATTCTTTAGATTTTCTGAATTTGGAGTCACCCCCCACCTGTGAGGACAACACAGCTTTGTACACTGGGGTCCTAAAAAAGCCCCCTCTGCCCCAGGAGATCTCCCTGCCATCCCTCACCCAGGACCAGCTCTCTCTGGATGGGGACACAGACAGTCTGACCAACTCCCCTTCCTCCAGTAGCCTGGACACCTGGTCTGGACACAAGCTGGTCAAAACCTTCAGTAAGTCTTCCAGCACCCACGGCCTCATCCGCCCGCCCAAAAGAAGGGAGGCCGGAGGCTCCGTCTCCGGCGTGGGAGAAAGTGGCTCTTCTTTCTCGGAGCTGGATGGCTGTGGATTGGACGAGGAGGGAAAGCTGTCACGCTCCACGACAGACAGCGAGATGCGGAAGGCCCTAAGCTCAATCTCCCATGGGGTAAGTAACAACGAGGCTCTCTATGCCTACTATGGCCTCACAAAACCCCGCCCTAAACCCCACTCACAGTCCCGCCTCCTGATCTCGCTGGATGACACTCCACCGGGCAGCCCAAAACACCAACCTGCCAGCAGGCACCACGGCAGCTGGACACACCGGAAACCTGACCCTAACTACGCCTACTCCACTAAGCATCTACAGTACCAACGCTCGCGCAATGCCAAGACCCCTGTTTCCCCTTTGTCTGTCACTCCTTCCTCCCCTGCTCGCTGTGACATAGCCAAATCAAAAGGTTTTGGCAGCGGCGGAGGGGGATGGGTGTTCCCCTCTCGCAGGCTGCGTGGTCGAACGGCAGTCAGTGAGCTGAACATCACCTATGTGGTAGAACGGAGCCTATACGGTCACCTCAACTGGGCACAGCTGGTCCGCCCAGTTACCCTAAGCCGCGCAGAGCGCCGCTGTCTATTGGAGGAGGACCGAGAGGCAGACAGGAAGTGGGCGGCCAGTGTGGACCGCTGCACCAAACGTGTGCTCTTGCGCATCCAGCAGAAGTCTGTGAGTTTGGGCCGAGAGGTTTAAAATCGACCGCCTCGTGTGAGCAGGAACGCGGTCCTTTAAAGTTGCAGAATAGCTCAGAGGTTAGAGGTGAAGCACGTTAAACATACACACATAAGACACACGGCAGGTCAGCATTACTTCAACTGATCCATTTGATATGGTCTGTGTAAGACGTCCACGTCAAAGTATTGCAGCCGTGCTCACGTATAAAAAGAAGTTCCTGAGGCTGGCATGTCTATGACAGACCTAACTGCCCCAAGAGGAACGCCATCTTCTCTGACCTTTAAGTGAATGTCTTTGGCTTTAAACCTTTTTTTTTTATTTCAGCTGAATATAAAGTGATTATGGAATGTGCAGTGGCCCAGTCGGGAGGTTAAAGTTACAGCTGAGGTTTTATAGAGGCTTTTTTTTATTTTATTTTATTTTTTATAAATGTCAGATCCCTGAAGGACAAGCACACAGTCACACTGATCCCCGTGGGCAAGAGATATGCTGTACAAGCTTGAAACTTCTCTTCCTTAGAACTGCTCAGCACCTTGCCTCAGATGCCTTTTTTAAATTAACTTCTAAAATAGAGTTTTTATGCTTTTTTACTTTATAGACTTAGCAAGGCTGAGTATAGTAAGAAAAAGGTGCTAACGAGCAAAACTGGTTAACTGTCTATGCTCATAATTATAATGCCAACAAGTATGCACACTGAATATTTGCATCACAAGTAACTCACTTATTGCCCACATGTATCTGAATATCCTTTGTGTACAGACAGAGGGAGTTGCACATACTCTAGGTGGTGATATTGTGGAGCTATCCTGCAGCTTTGAGGGTACCTGAGTCCTATCGTGTTCTAGTGAAATCACCGGAAGTCGTTCTCATCCAAAAACTCTTTTTTCTGTTGTGGCTTTTCGTGTCCTTATTTGGCCCGTGCCTCTATGGTTGCAGATGTGATTTTTTTCTCTTTTTATTTTTTTTTATTTCCTCTGATTATCTCTGACAGACATTTTTTTCTGGGTGCATGTCCATTCCATCGAACATCGCCATGACATTCAGAGTTCTAATTTTTTTTTTTTTTTTTTTTTTTTTTTGGACTTCTCTTCAAACATGTTTGTTCTCCAAACTGTGCTTTTCCTGGGAAGTTGTGAAGTGGACTGCAGCTTGTGGACATTTGATATAAAAAAATATATTTTCTTAATGTGCTGTTCTTTCTCACATGGAGGATCGTTGTCCTGGAGTTTGTTCGAGTTTAGTCAAGCAGTTCAGAGTGAATGCCTGTGAAGGGAGGAAGATATAAAATCAAGTGTCCCACTTGAACTGAGAGGGTTTTTTTTGGCAGATGCCTATGAGCATGTCTGTGTCTACATGTTTGTGTGTGATCTGAGCTCACGGAGGGTTCACAAAGTAACAGCTAGTTTAGTGATAAAGGCCTGGATCTCCTTTCCCTCTCATGCCATGGTTCCCTGTTGTGTCTACCCCTTATCTTGCTGTTGACTTCCAAAGCCAAGAAGAATTTCTCCATATCACCTTGTCCTCTCAGCAGAAACTATTAACCCTCAAACTTCCAACATATATGTTGTGCCTGTTTGTATACTCAGTCAGGTGGTGCATTTCAAAATTTAAGCACAATTCAAGTATTTTACGACCTTGGTCCTGTTGTTTTATATATTTAGGTGTCTAAATAACTAGTTGGCTCAAATAGCCTTGGAGTTGCTCCAGTAGATTGCTTTAGTGTGCAGTCACAACAGAACTGTAATGGCTACAATGCAATCATTTGGGACAATTACAGACGAGCAAGTCCATGAAAAGTGTTTATGTTTTGCTACCTACAAGCTCAGAAGATTATCTAAGTTTCTGAAAACATAACAGTCAGCATCCCTACAGTATTCCTATAAATGCAGGCCCTTTAATTGGTGCCTTTGCTGAAGAGGAAGTCTGAAGTCCTGTCAGTGGCAAAAACAAGCACTTTAAAGGTGCACTATGGAGTTTTGGTAGAGCCATGTGAAAGTTGGAGAAATGTACAGATTCTGTGGCATATGTTAATTACTCTATACACAAACTGTCCTCAGAGGAAAATGTGGTCCCTGTAACACTGTTTGAAGATAAAATGCTACGCGAGAGGTTATGGTGGGGGGCCCGCAAGAGCGAGACCATAACTCTCCTAGTAGCTTTTTTAAGCTCCAAACAGGGATCCAGGGACTAATTTTCTTCTTTGAATACGATTTGTGTATTCAGTTCAGAAAATATCATAGAACTTTCAAATTTCACTCCCAAATCTACGAAGTGCACCTTTAAGTTTAAGCACCTTTAATTGCCCCCAAAGGATGGCCTTAACAGCCATGTCACGTCGACCAACTGAAGCAATCTTTTGGAGCAATTTTCATGCGAGAACTTAATGTTCATTTACAAACAATATAAAAATAAGGCCCATGTTCAAAATGACAGAAAGTCTCCTTGTATAGAAGACGTTTTGTATTATATTGAAATTCAAAGAACATACAGTACATTCGCCTGTAAATATACGGTTATATTTTTTGGACACATCAAAAACGTCTGATTGTGTAATCTACAGGGAGTCAACAATAAAGCACAAAGAGCGACATATTGTGTGCTCTCCATGGTCAATGTAACAGCTCATTTTCTGAGGACCATGCAGTAAGTCGTAATTTAAACAGCTGCTCATATAACAGTTTCTCTTACATCATGTCTGTCGGCTGTCCACAGTCCCCTCATGACATCATGCCCCTGCATATATATATATATATATATATATATACACACACAAACCATATACCCATGTACATTAACCCAACAGCTGCCTGTGTTGTGCCAAGCATGAATCATTGTGAGTTGACCCTCAGTGGGTGTGGATGGGGGGGGGAGGTTTCTGTAATGTGACTTCTTGAATGTGACTCATGTGTGATTTGTGTTTTTGCTCCCCAACACAGAGAACGTGCAGCTTCGGGGGCTTTGACCTGTCCAACCGATCGCTCCATGTTGTCAACACAAGCTCAGAGGGCAACGTAAGTGCTGGCAGCTTTTCGGAATTCGAGGAGGGTACAAGGAGTTCAGATTATAACAATGAATCATCCTTTCCCCTTTGTTTTTATTTTCTTGTGATCTTCCCTCTTCTTTCTCGTCTCCTTTTCAATCCTCTCTGACATATTCCCTCCTCTTTTTCTGATTACAGAATAAAGACCAGGAGGCCATATACAGAGAAGTGGTCAAGTCCCCTACCACGTCTCGGATCTCACTGGGCAAGAAGGTCAAGTCGGTCAAGGAGACGATGAGGAAACGCATGTCGAAGAAATACAGCAGCTCCTTGTCTGAGCAGGTGAGACATTTGTGCTGCATTCAAATGCCGACAGGTTGCTTAGAGTTCAGAGGTTAGGAAGTCACTCATTTGATTTGAATGGGTCGTATTTTATTATTCAGAAAGAAATAAGATTATTTTGCATTGGTATCTACTAAATGTTTGAACTCTTCACTGTTTAAAAAAAGAGAATTAGGCCAATAAGCAAAAAACAAAAACACCAAAAAAACAAGAAATTATGAAAAAGATCTTGGCCATCAGGCTATGATTAACTGTGTTAGGCCGTGTTTCTGTAAAATATCAACTTTGTTTCCTCAACTCAAGACAGGTCCAAGATTTTTCTGGATTTTCCCAGTTGTTGTTTTGATTAAAGTAACCTTCATGTTAAATTGAGCTGGACAAACCTCCATTTTTTAGATAATCCTACAACATATGATTGCAGGGAAATACTTGAGCGCACAGAATCCCGAGCATGGTACTTCTTTTGTTACGAGAACGAAGAGATATGATTTCATAGCTTTTCCTTGTTTTAGGGGCAACCGAAGCATGAGTAAATGTAATGTCGAAATTGAACTTTATTCAAAATAAAGCAGCTAAGAAATAAACGGATCCCCAAATCCTCAGATGATGTTTTTAATCCTTAAAAAACGGCAAAGCAAGCATTTGCTGTGAAGACATAAAAGCTCCCGGTGTTCTGCAAACATTTAAAAGGATGTTTTGCAGTGTAAGCCACATATTTTGTCCACAGGCTGCCTGTGAGTGGGTGGGAGTATTTGTGTTGGTAACAGAATAAACATAAAGCAATAAATCACTCACACACACACACATTTGGCTCCCTCTCTCTGGGTCCTGTGTAAAGGGTGGAGTGTGTGTGCTTCATGCTGAGCTCATGCAGTGATGCAAACCTCCCAGAGGCTCGCTCTTGGAGACTTGGAAGTGTGAGAGTATAATGGCAACATCATCTGCCCTGGCCTAATTTCACCGGGCATCCATTGTGACTCTGCGAGTGACCGGTCTAGTCCTGCAGTCTGAAGCTGCCCTGCAGATTGTGTCCTTAATAAATAGTTCAACATCTGTCCATCATGGTGGTCTCAGAACTCTGACCCACATGTTCTGGCATGAGTCAAAGGGCCGCTGGTTAGAAAGGAGCAGAGACAAATTAATGACCATGTTTCAATGTTTCAACCACAGTCATTGTATAGACCACAGTGCCACCTAGTGGATCACTGAAGAAAAAGTATGGTTTTATAATGTACTGCATGTTGTTGCTTCTCTATAAGAGACATTCATTTGAACTTCCAAACTGATCTGAAGAGGTTTAAATAATCATTTGTAAAGTAGTTTGGAGATGCAGTGATATAACACTGTAAAGTAAATGATATAATTGAATCATCATTTTAATGTGATCTCTGTAGATAGCAAAAAAGATTAACTAATATATATACAGGCTAAGAAACTCAAAGCTAACTATTGATAACAAATTCTGTGGAGCCAAGCTCACAAAATATGTAGTTTGTTTTAAGGAGAGGCCTGAAAACCCCAATTGATCCCCACTTCCCACTTTTTCTTTCCACGTTCTCAATTGATGGTCACCATCTTTGTTTCCACGGTTACCCCTCATGTCCAAACATCTAAAACCACATTTTCCCAATCCCTCAAACTCTTAACCAACAGTATTTGCTTTCTTTCCTCCACCAATCGTCCTTTCTCTAAATCATCTGCATCTTCTTCCTTGTCCCCGTCTTTCAGTCGAGTCCAGATGGAACTCCTGGCTCCCCTCAGTCCCCGCAGCCCGACACTGACTCTCTGGAGAAGCCGAAGCTGAAGGCCGGAGGCTCGGTGGAAAGTCTGCGGAGTTCACTCAGCGGACAGAGTTCAATGAGTAAGTGGGAAGAAAAACATGGTTTTATAAGAGTATTCACTTTCATTTTAGAAGTCCTCTGTGTTGCTCACAGTATGTTTCCAATGCCTTGTCAAATAAATACTGAGGGATTTTTTTATCCATTTGAAAATACATGCATGTAGGAAGAGGCAATCCCAAAGAGCTCTAAGTTGATGTATTTATTGTGGTGGAATTTCTGTAGTTATTTAGATTATAATGTACAGATGTCATTAGGTTTATTCACTGTTCTCTAGTGTCAGTCAGACCTGAGAGAGTTCAGTTGTTATTAGAACACCAAGTACAGCTTGGAGAGTGTCAACTGTTCTTCCTGATATCTGCAAGGATGTTGGGTAGACGTATTATCTGCTCCAGTGTTATAGACGTCACAGTTTAGTCTAGGTGGGTCAATGTGACACGACCCTGATAATGATAATGTCTTTTAGAATATATGCGATGCCTTTCGAGAAGTTCTGCAGATGTGATTGAGCAAGACACCAGTACAGAAGTGTGATGCTGAATCATGTCTCCTCATGAGTATTCATCTGATGATTAAACTTTCATCAACGTAAGCCATCTGATGTCAACTAAGTCTTATTGTGTGGAGTCAAGTCTTAGTAATTTCTTCATGTATTATTGTTGAAAGCCTGTTTTGAGAAATAATATCCACTAGGTGGTGCTCGTAACATGTGCTGCCATCTGTGTATACTTAAGATACAGATGACTTAACCTCCTTGCTGCACCGTGTGTTATATATGTACTAATGACCAATTTTGAGAAGTGATGTCCTGCAGAGTAATTATCTCTCCTGTTCACTCCCAGTCCCATCAGCTGTCTCGCGTGCTGTAGTTTCATACAGCTTTCAAGTCATTTTATCTCACTACAACTTGGGATTACTTCAGCCTGTTGTTTGTCACGACCTTGTGGGTAAAATAGCCCTCATTATTTCAAGACTTGGCCGTCTTACAGTGATTCAATGCTGTACAACGAGCACACAAACACACACTGGCAGACATGCGGTAATGATTAGGTAGGAAGTCGTGCTCAGCAGAAGATGTAATTTCAGCAGCTTTCCTCAATACTCAGCTCCTCCTCAGAGCATTATGTCAAGCTTTTAAGATTCGGTTGAAGTTTTAGACATTTTTGATACAAAATCATCAACAATTAAAAAGAGTTAAGGTGCACAAAATGACACCTAAGTAGTGTTCAATTAGTTCCTTGAGGCATGAAATGCCATTGGATAGTAGCCATAAAGATGCCTCTTGTTTTCAGAGCTTATAAATGCTTATTGTTGTAAAAAGGGGCAATACAGGGAGTCTTTTTTAAGCTTGTATAAATCTCCGTGTGTGTGTTTGTGTCTAGGTGGTCAGACGGTGAGCACCACAGATTCGTCAGCCAGTAACAGAGAGAGTGTGAAGTCGGAGGATGGCGATGACGAAGAGCCTCCATACAGAGGACCCTTCTGTGGCCGCGCTCGAGTCCATACAGACTTCACACCGAGCCCGTACGACTCCGACTCCCTCAAACTGAAGGTAACACACACTTTGTGACCTGGATGGAAATTTGGAAGTCCCTACCACAACACTACAATGAATTTAGGCTTCATTTTAAAATGAAATGAGAGCCCTAGATTGGTCAAAGAGCTGGAATGACCAACTATTTCAGAACACAGCGTGTGTTCAATCCCTCTGAGATCCATGTCTTTGTTATTTTCCAGCGTGGAGATGTGATTGACATAATAAGCAAGCCGCCCATGGGAACCTGGATGGGCCTACTGAACAACAAAGTGGGCACCTTTAAGTTCATCTATGTGGACGTGCTGAGTGAAGAAGAGGAGAAGCCGAAAAGGCCTGTGAGGAGGAGGAGGAAGGGCCGACCCCCCAAGCCCAAATCAGTGGAGGACCTGCTGGAGCGCATTAACCTCAAGGTACATTTCACAAAGTCTTACCATGCATTCAGTATCAAATAGGATTTATCAAATAGGATTTTAGGATTTAATAGTGCATGTTAAAGCTCATGTGAGGAACTTTCAGTTCCTCACATGAGCTCTCGATTTTGGCGCCGCCCCTGTGGACTAAGTGGTACCTCTTATTGCTTTGTTGATTTTGTCCTGTATATCGGAAGTATGTACAGCGTCATTGAAGAATGATTGCCACTGGTGGCGCAGTGGTCAGTGTACGCTCCTCATGTATGGAGGATGTGGTCCTCCAGGCGGGTGGCCCAGGTTCGAATCCCACCTTTTTACACCTTTCCCGCATGTCATTCTCCACTCTTTCTCTCCCTGATTTCCTACTTTGTCCACTGTCTTGTATCTCCAAAAAAGGCTCAAAATTCCCAAAATAAATGTTAAAAAAAATAAATAATAATAATTGCCAGAAAAGAATAAAGAGTATAAAGAGGTTATATCAGCAGCGCGCAGTTCACACTTATCCCCAGCAGCCATAAAGAGGCGTCAGTATTAATTACAGCCTGTTTCATAACCTGTTAAAAAAACTCCTCATAGGAGCTTTACATTTCATCCGTAATCTTAAAAAGAGAAATCAAACCAAATCAAAATGTTTTTTCATCCAAATATCCTTAAACCACATTTGCAGACACAACGAGTTAAATATAGTAAAGGTAATCACAGGCTGCAGAGCTCAGGACGTTTGATCTGACACAATACATAAACATTAACACCCACTTTCTCACACCACGCCCCGACAATTATCTCCACATCTTTCATCTAAAACCTACATGTAGCTGTGAGCTTGGTATCCTTCTCCCACTCAGGCAGCCAGCAGGCTTAACTCCACAAATAGAGAGAAAAGTCTTTGAGTAGTTTTGCCCGTCGGCCAAGACGCAGATGAGAGATTTAGAGATGGTTATTAACGTCACAGCACGATGAGTAAGAGTTTTTTTTCTAAGCTGCGATCCGGGGCGTTTAAAAAAGTCTGTCAGGGTGTTCGTGTCCCTTATGGCGCCATTATATCTTTTCTGTGGGCAAGTAAGACTGAATTAAGAATGTTTATTTCAGAGTTCCCACCTTGCAGAACATCACTATTTTCTCACGAGGCTTGTATCCTCTTCTCTGGATCTGTGTCCTGCTGATGAAACAGCTGAACTGAAAGTTTTAATTTTCAATATAAATAATCCTGTCAAGCACGTTTTCAAAGGTTTTTAGGGTCAGATGGTGATTTACAGTGCAAGAAATCACGAGTTATGTTTTGTAAATATTATGTAATATTATTTTGGAGGGTTTTTAGATTTGACATTTTTAAAGTTACGGCTAAAGCTTTGGTGGAAAGGCAGCTCTTATTTTCTGCAGTGCTGCAGAGACAGCTTGTTTGTCCATATTGACAAAAAATGATTAAACCTTTGAGTCATGATGAAGCTGACAGAGATAAAGAAAAATACAAACATTTGTGTTGTGTAATTGAAGACGTGCAGAGTGAAATTTGGTCAAACCAACATTTGGAACACACACACTCCAACATTTCCTGTCTCACTCCCCTGATGAATTATCTGCCAAACAATCTTTGGCTTTGGAATTTTTTAACAGGACAAAACAGATAGTGAGAGTGAGAGGTCTTTGCTGCCTGTTGTTTGTGTTAGTTGGTGGTCCTTTGTTTAGTCCTGAACCACCCGGAGGAAAATAGACCAGAGGGAACACTCAGTTCTCCACTGCGGACTCGACCGTTATAATTGATGGTCTCGCTGGTGACACACAGTCTATGTGCTCGTCCAACAGAGTGCGTGGGTCGCACAAACACTGTGCCCAGCAATATTCAAAGTGGAAGCGGTTTGGACTGTGTTGAATGATAGCTGACTGTGCACTCACACAGGGCGTGTCAAGACCTAAACTTTGTTTGTTTTCCCCCCTGTCTGGACCCTCTCAGATAACACAAAAGTTCGAGTGACAAACTTTGCTTTTTGTGGTTGGAGAGAACTTTGATGTAATTGTCTCCACCGTCAGTGTTTCCCTCACATTGTGTTTGGCGGGTTTCCATTTAATTTCTGTTTCAGTCTCAAACAGCAGGAGGCTGCACACTGTTACTGGAGTGGTACTGCTAGCTTGCTAATGCTGCTACAACTCACTTTTATGTGCCTGTCAACATGAGAAAGGTTGTGCCGTATTAAAGTGCTGATGGATGAGGCAGCCTTAACGGAATTAGCAACGGTTTATAGTAATTTAATGCCATCTAAAAATCAAACGGCACTTTGGATTAAGCTAACTAGGAGTTTAAAAATAAATAACATAGATAAGAATTTATTACCATATGACAGGTGTGCACGCTTCTGTTTGTTTTTTTAAGTCATTCATGACTCAGGTTCAAAATGTGTTTTCCTGCAGGTTAGATTTCAGACATCATTCTTTTTCCTCCTCGAAAGAAAAACTTTAACCCACAAGTTGTATTTCTGTCATGCAGGAGCACATGCCCACTTTCCTGTTCAACGGCTACGAGGACCTGGACACATTCAAGCTGCTGGAAGAGGAGGACCTGGACGAGCTGAACATCAGAGACCCTCAGCACCGAGCTGTGCTGCTCACCGCCGTCGAGCTGCTGCAGGAGTACGACAGTAAGTAGACTTTGGACAGAAGAGTAAGAACACAAGGAGTGATGATTATAACTTTCTCAAGTTCTCTTCTAAAGAGAGGCATTGTATCAGTATCAGTATGGAGTTAAGATCTGGGTGTTTGCTGAAGAATCTCCTCCAACAGAGGACTTTCCTTATCCACTTGTGTTAAAGCACACTGAGGAATTAAATAGTTTATCTTAAGAAAACAGAATCAGCTGCAGCATTTTACATGTTTTTCCGCTTTTGAATTCATAATAAATTCAGTAGAAACTATGCAAACGATTCATGCTACAATTGCTACATGCCTGCAAATAAAAAACCATCCCATCTCAAGCTCTAACTCGTTTCTGTAATTCCAGGCAGCAGTGATCCGGAGCGCAGCGGCCTGTCGGGCTCCCAGGAGAAGCTGCTGTCGGAAGGGCGGGGCTTGGTGGGAGACTCCCCGAGAGACTCAGGCTGCTACGAGAGCAATGAAAACCTGGAGAATGGTAATGAAAGCTATACGTAGTCTACACCCCCATTACCCAATGCCCACTGGGAAATAGCCTAGCTAGGACCTAGTTCTGGTCTGGCCCTGGCGTGTTGTAGTGCCAGTCCCCTACCCCTTTGCCTGCCACCTCTGCTCCACCTCTTGCCATGCTTATACAACACCTCTCCCATCTCACTCCTCTGGACCAAACCCGTTCCTTTTGCAGCCCCATCTTAGCTTAAAACCTCACCTGAATCTCTCTAGTATGGGTGCCCCCTTATTTCTTCATACTTCTACTATCCTTTCACTCCACTTTCTTCACCCCCTCTTTCCATCTTGTAGGCATTCTGTATCGTCAGTGCCAAAGTCCAGTTGTATCAGAGAGGGAGCCAGGTCCTCCAAGACCACTAAGCCTAGTCCGACACACAATGCTGGGAGCACAGAGGGAGACATCCTCCCCAATGCACAGAACTCTTATGACGAGAACAAACTCTCTGCCCAATAATGGACTCAGATTCCAAGCTCTTCTTCCTGTGGATGCAAGGCTGCTAGCAGGATACGGAGAGGATGATTACGAGCTCAGAGAGTATTTCTGTTGAGTGTTTTTAATAGAGTCTAAGCAGAGCAGCCTGCAGAGTAGCATGCCAATAAATGCCTGATTTTATTTTTGCAGTGGTGATTCTATAGGCTGATAAGGTTTCTAAAAAGAAAAGTTTCAAAAAGGTTGCAGCTGCCATTGAAATCTCTTGTCTTCGTACCCCTTTGTTGTGTTTATAGTGACCATGTTTGCACCATCCAATCAATATGTGCCTAAAAAAAGATGAAAATATTTTTAAATTGTAGTGCATAGATTGTAAAAGAAGTCTGATTACAGAAGTTTATTGAGGTCTTACTTGTGAGATTTCTTTTTTGTTTATTGTTGAACCTGCTCTCTCCTCCTGCATAAGACTGTATGCTGTCTTTATTCTTTTTAACAGCTCCATTACTCATAAATCACTGCTTTGTCCTCTCTATATCTGTTGGGTAACTTACTAGGTTCCCCTTCTTATGTATGTATGTGTCCTTCAGGTTCAACAGTGAAGCGTGCAATCAGTAGAGAATTCAGTTGTGGAATAAAAGCCACTTCTATAAAAAGAAAAAAAAAAGGACTCTGTTGCTGCTTGCTTGACTTGTATGTTTTGCCTCTTTTTTTCTCTCTGTTTTCCCTGCCAATGCCGCTAAACGCTGCTTAACCAGCTGCATAACACTTAGAGAACATTCTGCATTTCTTCTGTCACTTTCAGGGCTCCACAGTACAAATGCATAAAATCACAGCTACATCACTGAATATTAATGGTCATTCCTGAATATTGATTGGTCTAGAGACTAAACCACATTTGAGTTTAAATAATAGAAGCTCATTAAAAATGCACATTTAAACTTTCAAACTTTCGGGAAAAAAAGTCACTGTAGAGCCCTGAATGTATAAACGTTTAATCAATAGATCTCCTTTTAACATACATGTCTGATATGTTTTCCTGTTACTAGTTGTGTTCATTTATCACATATCATTAAGTGACTTCTGTCATCATTTCATGTATACATACATGCATACATATATGAGGATGTATTTATCAGTAGATTGAACAGTGTTTAAAGATGACGCTCAGTCAGTGATCCTCTTAATCAAATATGAAGTTATAAAGGCATTAAAGGTCACATATTAGCACAATACACTAAACCATGGTTTTCTAATACTATTATGTGTCTCTAGTCTGTCTACAACCCCCCCCCCCCCATAACGAAAAAAGTCCGACCTCTCCGTCTTTTGCCTGCTCCACTTTTCAGAAAATGTGTGCTCAAAGATCTTCCCTTTGTGACATCACAGGGGTAACTCCTCCCCCAGGTGGGTGATACTCCCACAGTTAGGTGTTTATTCTGTTCTCTGAGTCTGCTTCCACTGTAAACAATAGGCCAAGAAAGCCCAAGCAACTCAATCCTTAAAGGGGTGTGGTCAAACACATCTCATTTACATTAAAGGTACAGACACAGAAAGCAGGGTTGAAATAGAGGGGTTTGATCCTGTATTTGATCATGCCTACAGAGTGGATTTTTAGCAAAAAATGTCACAGACATGTTGAAAAGGGGAATAATATGTGACCTTTAGCTACCTTTAGCTAAGTATTAGCTACTGATTATAACCTTATACTGCTTTTTCAATTTTGAGTTGTATTAAAAAATTAGCTGGCCTCATTCTGCTCTGAGAATATAGTTTCCCTTTCCTTTACTCCTTGTACCTAATTTGCCATAACAAACAACAACTCGCTTGACTCCTTTTGGCATTTTTGGGAACCGCTGAGCTATTTCATGACATTCCACCTATTGAACTTCTTTCTGTCATCCTGCCATTTCAACTCTTTGGCAAGCCCCCTTCTGTGGCGCCCATCCATTTCATGCATCCAATTTTTATGCTCTGTAAGCCAGAGGAAAGATGGTAAGTTGCTTCTGTCCTTTTTGTTCCAATGTTTCTGAACTGTCCCATCCAGATTTCTTTATTTGGGATCACTGCTATGACAACAGCAAATCAGCCAGCTCGGTTATGTGTCAAAGAGCTTATCTTATTCCAGGCTCACCCCACCCTTTCTTCATAAACACTTCTCAGCCCCAGACTGTGGTTTACAGATAAGCTGTAAACAATAATAATGTAATGTTTAAGAGCAGGCTTATTTTTTCAAATAACTAGTATGATTAAAAATAATTGTTGTTGTGTGCATGTTTTCCAGTGATGAAACACATATGATCCAGAGTGTTTGTGAAACATGTTAGCCTGTCATAGATATTTTTTTCATTTCTCCATCGTAATAACTTCCACTTTTTTGCCAAAATCTGCAGCTTCAAAAAAATTAATGGCATCAGAGAAAGCAAAATATGTCATACTTAGTTTATCAATAAGGATTTGATTTTTAAATGAATTAAAGCATGATTGTAGCATGCTGGAGTGATGACCTAGTCTCTGTTAGCAGTTTCACTAAAGGGAAAATACTTCAAACTGTTGAGGGGTTTGGTTTCATGAGAGTAAAAGTATCTATTTCTCTTTACTTATTGGTATATTTTGTTTTTCTTTTTGCAGGCAAGAGCAAAAAGACCTCCCGATGCAGTCGTTCCTCAGCAGGTCTCCAGTCTCCGGACTACCCCACCCTGCCCATGACCCTTTCAACAGAGGCGTTGCAGCAGAACGGCAAGAACCAGCGCAGCAAGTTCTCAAAAAGCTTCTTCATCAAACCCTCCCTGAAGGGCTTCAACCTGCTGGGGCTGCGTAAAGCACAAAGACGGTCCCCCATCCCGGCCAGCCGCAGCTGTGAGGACCTGGATGTTCCTCTGCAGTCTGCTGGACCCTTTAAACGCTCCCACTCTCTCGGAGATCTGCAGAACTATGAACGGAAGGATCTAGGGGTGGAGCTAAAACTTGCAAAGGAAGGACCCAAATCCGGCAACAGTAGTCCAAACAGAGTCTTCAGAGAGGAGGCTTCTCAAAACCAGAATGGGACTCCAACACTGAGCCCGAAAAGAAGGGCAGATCGACCACCCATCCCCTCCCAGCTGCCTCTTCGCCCCCCTTGTGCCGCTACCCAGTCCCCAAATCCATCAGAGCTATCCAGTCCTACTCCCAGTCCACCCGAGTCAAGCGGGGAGAGGGTCATCCGGACTCATCCAAAAAAGCCGCCCGTCCCGCCTCCTGTTCCTGCCAAGAAGTCTAAGGAAAGATTAGCCAACGGCCTGCGCCACCCCCCTCCTCTCTCCCTGCCTTCTTCACCGTCTCCCACCCCTTCACCCACCCATTCTTTCGCCAGGTCTCACCCTAGCAGCCCCATAATCCGTAGTAGCAGCAGCAGCCCCAGCCACAGTCCCAGTGCCCCTGCTCTGCCCGCCAAGACCCTGAGCAACCCTGCCAGCCCCTGTACCACCACCTCCTCTGCCTCATCCATGGGCGAGGACTTAGGCAGTCCTCCGGCTGTGCAGCCTCCATGGATGTCAGACTTTGGGGGTAAGGTGGCAGTTTCAAGGAAGGCTTCACACACAAAAATGATCCCCGACCTGCTAACCCTTCTGGAACAACGGCTGGAGGCCGAGGGCATTGATTTGACGGAGGAGCCCTACTCTGACAAGGTGAGCAAGGAATCATTCATCTGAACACCAGAGAAGAAAAATCACCTCACATTTTGGATTGCAAATTCAATTTGGCATGACTTTAGGTTGTGTTACAAAAACAATAACTGCAGATTGCACCATTTGTATTCTGTTTATACTTCCTTAAACACTTCACAGCAGTCGAGTGGGGTACAGTAAAGTTATTCACTGCTATATAACTTTTCGTGCTGGTAACAAATATAAACAAGGGCACTATAAGGTATAGAGATGAGGTAAGGATTGCTTTTAAGAACCACATCTGAGCCGACACATTTCAACCACATATGAAGTCATGTTTCCATGCTTAATGTGAAAATAGGGCTCTATGACACCTCGGGCTGTACTTGTCTGGCGGCGGGCTCTTTCAGTTTAGAATCGTAACATGCCTAACTTAACTCAGTCATAATTTTACTGCTCCATGGATCTAAATGATTCCCTGTTAAGGCCAATTTTTAAGTTAAAAACAGAGACTGATAGAGTCTAAAATGTCTTGTTTCTTTGCTTCTGCATTCTCTTTTCTTTTGTATGCAAGTGCATTTGTGAGTGTGTCTTTGAGTGCACAATAATAAATTTGCAGCCTGGAGCTGAGGGTGAAATTGCGGGCTGGGTCTCACTATGATGCGGTTCAGACTGTTAAGTTTATGGGTTGAATCTTACTGAAGGCAGACAGGGGTTGTAAAAACCCTCTGCCACTCGCCAGACCCCAGGCTGGGCCCCTTTAACACGGCTGAGGCCCCGAAGCTGCCAGGGAAAAAAAAACACACACACACACACACACACACACACACACACACACACACACACACACACAGAGGCATGCAGGGATGAGGTGAGAAATAATGTGTTAGACCACAGCACAGCTCTGCAGGATTGTTTTTAGTAAGGGAGGTGATTGGCAGACACGAGAGCCACGCTGCAGCTGTAGTAGCAACATGAAGGATTTAAACCCAAATTAATATGAATGCTTTCAAAGGTAATGTAGTTAAAACATTTTGAAACTGAGTCAAACATTGGCACTTATAAGACCATTATTATTGTGCTTGAAGCAGGAAGTGTCTTTTTACCAATGGTCACATTGTAAAAGGTACAATATCTGCTAATATGAATGAATAAATCAGCAAACACTGATCAAACAAGAAGTTAATGATGGAAAATAAGAGGTGGTAGAAAACTATTTGACCTAAGATCGAAGATACAGAATTTCACACATATCATATCAGAATAATATTATTCAATTTCAAGAAGATATTCAGCACGAAGCATAAAGGACAATTAACTGAAAATACTCCAACTCTTCTTCTAACTCATTGCCGTTTGCCTAAAAGTTATCTGACTCTGTATTGTCCTGTACGTTTAATAATTAGCCTTGAAATACCTTCTCTTTATCTTCCACCCACCCTTTCAGCCTCAAACAAAAGGTATTAGGCCAATAGGTTAAATTGTGATACAATCTCGTTTGTAAAAAAAAAACACATCAAACTAAATATTAATCACAGCATTACACATACAAAACATGATCCTTGACTTACTCACAGTGTCAGTGATTAAGTTTTAGGTGTGTTTTTAATGGATATGAAAAGAACACGCTGACATGAGTATTTAATAAGTACAATTATACTGTCTATATTGTAAAGGGTTTGTCCTATACTCCCTGTAGAATCGTCATCACCACTTGGTCAGAAGATGTCTCAGAAGAGTAATTAGATCCAATTAGGCTGTTTCATTCATTCAAGAACAAATATTTCTCAATCTTCTCAAGTCTTAAGTCAAAGTGCTCCTTTGTTCAACTGGCTTTTTTGCTCATCCACTTCTTTTTAACGAATCATTGTTAACGGTCTTGCCCTTGACATTTAAAGTTGTTTTTAATGTATTTCTCTTTGAGTCTTGTCTAATAACACCTCTCCCCTTACCTTTTCTCCTCCAGCACGGCCGGTGTGGAATCCCGCAGCCGCTGGTGCAGCGTTATTCTGAGGATCTGGAGCAGCCTGTCAAAGACGTGGCCTCGAACATGGACCAGCTCCGAGTCAGAGAACTTCGTAAACAACACCGCATGGCTGTAAGGCATCAAACGCTGATTATATTTGTTTCATGCAGACCATGTTGGAACGATATTTGCAGCTATAAGATAGACAAATGCTAACTGAGACTTTCCAAAAAGTAGTCTAGTTGTGACTGTAGTTTCTGTGGTGGAATCTCTGTAGTTATTTAGATTATAATGTACAGATGTCATTAGGTTTATTCACTGTTCTCTAATGTCAGTCAGACCTGAGAGAGTTCAGTTGTTATTAGAACACCAAGTACAGCTTGGAGAGTGTCAACTGTTCTTCCTGATATCTGCAAGGATGTTCGGTAGACGTATTTTCTGCTCCAGTGTTATAGACGTCACAGTTTAGTCTAGGTGGGTCAATGTGACACGACCCTGATAATGATAATGTCTTTTAGGATATATGCGATGCCTTTCGAAAAGTTCTGCAGATGTGATTGAGCAAGACACGAGTACAGAAGTGTGATGCTGAATCATGTCTCCTCATGAGTATTCTTCTTATGTATAAACTGTCATCAACGTAAGCCATCTGATGTCAACTGAGTCTTAAGCCGTTTTCACATATGCACTCCGGATAATATCTAGACATTTACAGGAGGACTTCTCCGGAGATTCTCCCGAACTAGCCGTTCACATATGCTCCTCACAGCGGGGGACTTTCCCTGTCAGAGGGGAGGGGCCGCGGGGGATTTCCCATCACGGAAGTAGCGACCGAAGCAACAGAGTCCGCTACACGACGTTATAATGAGAATATTTGCCTTTATATCAATGCTATGTGTAATCCAATGGAATAACAACATCCACAAAAGAGTGGAGGAAAACATAATGCAGACGTTTAATTACGTGCACAGAGATCGTAGTGGTCGCGGGCAGACACTTTAGCCGGTCACTATGTAAATGTCACTCGGGTCCCATTGGCTCGAATTGAAAATCTCTGGAGTATATTCGGCTTCTTTCAGACATAAACTCCTCCGGATTATCTGCGGAAAAAATACGAGGGGTCTGGCAGGATAAACTCCGGGTAATATCGGAGTTAAAAAAATCGGCTGTTGCGTTCACACATACAGCTTCCTCCTGGAAATCTCTGGAGTTTTTCAGGAGATTTCCCTATGTGTGAAAAGGGTTTTATTGTGTGGAGTCAAGTCCTAGTAATTTCCTCAACAGTTTCCGTGTAGTGGTTATAATAAGAGTTAGGGTTCCATTTTTACACAGCAGCCATTTTCTTTTTGTGTTAGCCAAAAAGTGTTTCAGTATCAATCTGCTGTATTCCAGGTTTTAAGCTGTTTGTGTACATAGGGAATCAGACATTCGTAAAGATAAAGCCTAGTTAACATCCAGAGGGATATCCAGCCGTAGTTTGACTTTTAAACCACATATTTGAGAACTAATTTGCTACTGTTTTGACAACTGCCAAAATTATCATTCAACCACTTTCTTGCTAGCATTAGCCTATTAGGTATAGCGCCAAACAATTCAATAGCATAACATCCTAGCTAACAGTATTTGTAAAATAGCTAACAGCAATATTAGCGATGAATTGGGTGGGATGATATCTTCTTTCATTTCTCTTTTTCACAATGACTCTTGTTTGGGGACACTGTGACACACTTATTTCAACAGCTCATTTGCTACCTTTCAACAACAAACAATATTAGCATTCAACCACTTCCAAGCTAACATGATAGTTAGCTAGAATATATAACCCCTTCAATGTGTCAAGTTACACTATCAATTGGTGATATCAGGATTCAGCCAGTCCCTATGTCATGGTAATGTAAGACTGGAAGTTGATGAATGCTAATATTAACTGTTGTTAGCAACTAACATATTACCAATTATATGAACCTGAAATATAACCTATTGTGCTACCGATTTTCACTCAAATTTGTTGATGATTATGGAAGCTGTATCATGATAATGACTTGTAATATCCACTAGATTCATATGGTTTAAAGCTCAATCACTGTAATAAGCCATTTCAAGTGTTATAGCATTCTAGCTAACCACCCAGAGACTTAGGCCTACATGAGAGGAAAATTACCACAATGTGATATGGTCAAATACAGCCTGAAAATGTTAAACCTCTGCTTTTTTCACACATATCTCTTTGTTTATCAACTATTGTTACATCACTAAAATACCCACAGTAACTAATGCTTTCCCGTCACATTTTTGTCATTTAGATTCCATCTGGAGGTCTAACAGAGATGTGCCGTAAACCTCTGCCTCCAGGTAACATCCGCACAGTCTCTGATTGGCTCATCTCCATCGGCCTGCCAATGTACACAAGCTCTCTGACGGCGGCAGGAATCGACACGCTGAGTCATGTGGCCTTGTTAACGGAGAGGAGTGTGTGGGAGGCCGGGGTCCGGGATGAAAGACACGCCCACCGACTTGTCAGTGAGGCACGATTGGTCAGCGCACACAGACAGGTGCAGTCCTAAGTGTGTGGGCAGAGTCACTTAAAAAAACAGGTATCAAGTCACTGGTCAGTGCCATCTCATTTAAACATGGTTAGTAGGCGAAAGGCAAATTGGCAACAAGACTTGATTATCACGCAACTGACCACAGCACTACATTACTTCCTGTCTCGCACGTGTCAGATGACTCAAAGCGAGCTAACCCTAATCTCCAATTTTCTCTCTTCATCACTTTTCTCAAATGTTTACACCATTGAAGGGTTTTTTCTCCTGAGAGCCAAGACAGGATGTCTGATTATTGCCTTTTCAAGATAAAAGACTCACTGTGTGGGATGGCTTCCACTCTTGAGGACACCCCCGAAAGTCTTATAATAAAGACTTGGATTTGCCTTGAAGGAACATTGCACACTCTTTTTGTAGGATGGATGTTTTTTAAGATACAGAAAAAGGTGGTTTACTTCCTGCATATTTCATAAGTGCTTCATTTCCAAGTGTTTTGTGGCATGGGGCCACATTTTTCTGAGGGTCTTTTTAAGGAAGTAGCTCAGCCAAAGTGATTTACTCCTCACTCAACACATCATTGCCACATACAGGAATTCAGCAAACTTCATATCTGGACTTTTAACCAACTAAATACATACACAAACTTTTAAGTTACTGGTCATTTTGAGAAGGTATGTTTTGTATAATTTTCTGTATTATAGGATAATGCATATCTTGATTTTAAAATGATTTATATGCTAAAATGTGTTTGTCTTTTGAATGTTGCAGCCTTATGTTGAGACAAGCTCTTGGTCATTGCTAAGCTGAAACAGCTGACATCACACTTTTATATTTCCAGTATACTTAATGTCCGCTTCTACTTTCTGTATTTTGGATGCACAGAAAGCGCTTTTACTTCAGTAATCAATATCCCATTTTACAGCAACAATACATTCCCTGTGTATACAAGCACATATTGCGTTGCCTTACCATTATTAAATACAACATATGTATAGTTTTGACTATTGCATGACTGAGGTTAAATTGTGCAAGCCTTTTCATTCTGAATGTGTCTGAGAAAAAATTTTGTGATTTTACGACCTCACACTCCACCGGATAATTTCAGTGATGCACATTTCTGTGGAACCGCGAAAAATTCCTCTGATGGAATCGTGTTTTCTATACTTTGCGAAGCCACAAAACCACAAGCCCGACATTGACGTCGCCCCATGTTTAACATTCCTCTAACATCCCAAAGCTCACTGTACATAGTCCATGTTGTGGGACGAAGAGAAAATATTTCAACGACACAGCTGATATCTGCGCCGTCATATATGGAATTTATTGGACTGTCTACAGTGTTGAGGAATTAGTTTTATAGCTGATAAAATGCTGTTTGGGACTTTTTTTTTAACATAATGTATCCATGATCAATGCTGGACTGGAATTCTTAATAGGATTTTTGTTAAAGACGAGGGTAGATGGTAAAAACGGTTATATCAGCAGAGCAGATGACCTCAAAGGTCAGCGTACACATTATGACACGAAGTAGTCTCGCAAATCAGGGAGAATTATGTAAGAAGAGCTTGTTGTGAAAAAAGACTATGGGAAAATAAATTAAACCAGAAATTAATTATTTAGCAAACATTAAAGAATGTGCTTTTTTCTCCTTGAATTTCTAACAGTAAAGTTTTGTCTTTCACCTTCAGAGATGAAAAAAAAGACATGTTCCAAGGATTTAACAATTGAAATTTGAGAAGGTGGTTCTATTCTTTTATTTTTTTTACTTAAGGGTTTTTTTTTTTCTTTCTCTCGTTTTGAATTGAAAACATTTTCCATGATTTCATTTGTAATTATTTGACCAAGTATTATTCCTGAAATTTGCAGATTTAGTTTATTTCAAGGTGCAAAAAGTTTGATGCCTTTTTATTTTTCTTTCTTCAATCAAAGTGGTGCTCTGAGAAAGCGAGTAGGGTGAGGGCCGGGTCTTTAAAAAAAAGATTTAAAAAAAGAAGAAGCAAAAGACCCAACAAGTGTTTTGTAAAAATGAAAATACTGACACTGTAAATGCACTTTAGAGGAGAAAACAAGCTGTTTTATAAAAGCAAATTGGCTACATTTTGTTCACATGTCCATAAATGGACGCTTGTTGTCAGGTTTAAAGGGTTTAAAGTGGGCTATGCTGGTGTTTTATTTTAGTTCCCATTGCCAAGTTTTCTAACCATTCACGGGTTAACCTGCTCAACCTCTTCACTCCCGGCTTGTTTTTGCATACTTACAAAAAAAAAAGAATTCTTAATTACATATATGAAATGGTTAACAGAAGTTGCACATTCTGTATATGTAATTGATATTTAAATAACTTATTTTAGCTTTTTATTTCTTATCACCTGTAATTAGCTGTACTATATGAATAGCAATACCTTCCTGCATAATGCATATTGCTTTAGCCAGTGAGGAACTACAGTATGTATTGTAAAATATCTGTACAAATTATTTTATTTGGTTTTCATCTACCTAATGATTGTCCATACAGATTTGCTTGTGTATTGAAACAACAAAAAGTAATGTCCATAGCTATTTGTCATTCTGAAACATAATAAAAACTGTTTCTTGCCATAGGTTGGGCTCCTGGTTGTAACCCTACACTCTCTCTCACACACACACACTCTCTGTGTAATGAAAAGATGTGGGTTTAGTCGTCAATGTGGTTAACTTTGACCCTTTTGATAACTTTCTTAACATTTTTAAATTAAAATTAAAATTGTGGGTTGCCAACTAAAGGATGATAAAGACTGGATTTAATTGATATCAACACGTCAAATGTGTAATTATCTTATTCTTAGGTTTAAGAAAATACAAGCAGCCAATGATTTTCTTCAGTTTGGTCAAAAGAAACAATAGAGCACAATTCTGTGACTTTTTTTGGGACCTTTACACAAACTATAGTCAAAAGTTCAGCTGGCAGGTGGAGCTTAATAAAAAACCCAATTATATCTGGCCTGTAATGCCTCATTTAGAAAACAGCTCAGGACTAAGACTGCCTGTCTGGCTCTTGTTGCTTCGCAGCTAAATAAAACCATGCAGGAGTTTTTCAGCCAGTGTCAAACTGAGACCTAATTGGACCTCAATTTCAATCCCATATCACCATAAGAGACTGACTTTTTTAAAGATTTAACATGCTTAACTTCTTTTTTAGCCAAGGTTTAGTCATCTTCTAAAAGGAAAAGCAAAGACAGATCTGAAGAGAAACACCAGCTAAGTTTGTCTTGGCTTAATAGTTGTCCATACTGGTCCATGCTGTTATGAGCAGTTAGCTTTTTTAGTTTGTCTTCCACAGATACGGTTGTTCCTCCAATTGGAAATATCTCACTTGGAGAAGATGACGGTTATTCTGAATCATACGAGAATTCACCCATTTGTGATTAAGGATTGCAACATACCGTATTAAAGATCTCCATTTTATTTTACTTTTCCTCCAACAAGTACCTTTAATGTTTAAGTTATACTTCTGAATCATATTTATTCATGCTCTGTCATTATAGAGTATGAAAAACAAGCGGACATAAAGCACATTAGAGTGAAAACACACATTAAGATTCCTCAGCTATAAACTGTAATGATTGTGATACTGTTAAAGATCCATACAGGGAAACTCCTCACTGCCACTTGTTTCCCTCATGGTCGGTCAGAAGTCACTTTAGTGAGGGAATATTGCAATAATTTGGGAATCAATTCCTTACCAATACATTTCTTCACCAATTTGTTCATAAAAAAAACACACATTGAAGATTTCAAATCAACTCCTGTAGGAAAATCTGTGAGAGCTGCTCAAAGTGCGGATGTCCATAACCTTACTAGTAAAAGACAATTGAAAATGTTATCCTCTGCCTAAGGTAGCTTGTGAGGGGTCAAACTAGGGTTTTTACAGGATTCTGAGTCCAATTGTTTTGTTAACATTTCGATTTTTTGTATTAAGGGTCTTGGTACCCCAACTTTCTATCTTGGTAAGGAATTTATTCCCAGATTGGCCAAATAGCTCTTCAGATTTTCTGAATACTGAAGTAGTTCCTCTGAATGTGTCTGAAGTTTTAAAGCCTAGGAAGGCTAATCTTGATAGCTTTATTTGTTGCTCCAAATGTTATTCCAGTACCATAAAATAGGTGTATATTCGTCATAATGACAATAATAAGGCGTATTTTCCTCAATCTTTCCAAATGTTCTTTACTCTGGCATGGCCTTACCAGAGTACACAATAGCTCTGAGTATGCACAGGTGGGTGGACATACTGTTTACTGAATCTATGTGAAGTTTTACAAACGGCAAACTCAGAGGAACTCCTGCTGAATCCCATCACCCCTGAGATATGTCTAAATACTGACTAATCGTATGTGACCTGAGGCATTGGGGTAAATATTTAACAGCAAAAATCTGGTCTCATCACTTTTTAAAACATTTGTCCTGTCTCTGTGGAGTTTATCTTTACTTCTTCCAGGTTTCTCACCGTGGTGGAATGTCTGTTATTTAGATTATAATGAACAGTCATTAGGTTTATTCACTGTTCTCTAATGTCAGTCAGACCTGAGAGAGTTCAGTTGTTATTAGAACACCAAGGACAGCTTAGAGAGTGTCAACTGTTTTTCCTGATATCTGCAAGGATGTTCGGTAGACGTATTTTCTGCTCCAGTGTTATAGACATCACAGTTTAGTCCAGGTGGGTCAATGTGATACGACCCTGATAATGTCTTTAGGATATATGCGATGCCTTTCGAAAAGTTCTGCAACTGTGATTGAGCAAGACACGAGTACAGAAGTGTGATTTTGAATCATGTCACCTCGAGTATTCATCTGATGTATAAACTGTCATCAACGTAAGCCATCTGAGTCAACTGAGTCTTATTGTGTGGAGTCAAGTATTTCTTCAACACTTACCTCCAGGCAGACTTAGTTGGAACTGGCAGTTGGTGGATTTTGATTTGACAAAGCATTGATTTACAGCTCATTAACACCCATACTGCAGGTCTGTGTAATAAACTCCTGTGCTGCACGGGTGATTTGGATGGCAGAATGTGTCCACACTATGTTTTATGCCTATAGCAAAATACAGAACTGTTCTATTAACAATTAATTTACCTGTGTAGAAGTCTAGTCAATGGGCCCTCAACAGAATCATTGAGCTCTTTTTTATTACCTTTAGTCTTTTAAAACCAAATTGTTTTACTCCCCCGTTGTTGCTCCCCTGACTGCTGTATCTGTCGCCAGTGAAAGCGTGTCAGCCTCTCTCGAGTAGTTACTGAGCTGAATGACTGTTGTTGTCGCCTCCTAAGTGCAGGTGTAGTCTTAATGGTGGGTTCCAACCCGGCTGTGGAAAGATATATGGCTCAGTGTAAAGTCCTTACAGCCGGCCTGAGGGAGAGGAGAAAGTTGTAAACAAACACAGACACACACACACACACACACACACACACACACACACACACACACACACACACACACACACACACACACACAGAAGATGGAAACAGTTACTCTTCTCAGCAGCTTCTTTTCAACGCACATCAAACTTTTCAATCCTCATTCTAAAGTGGCAATGACGCCTCTTGTTTCATTGTATAAATATAAACTCTTACCAAAGGTTAAAGGTCACTCTTATGTTTCTATTGAGGTGAAAAGTTTTTCAATTGCATCTTTAAATGTCATGGACCAGACCTTAGTACTGCTCGTGTGTCTGTTGAATCTTGCCCTTTAAAATCCTCATTCCAAACCTTTTACAATGCTTTGAAATATCTTAATATATTTTTAAAATACATGCAGTGAAAATGTAAAGACCATATCACAAGACTGTGCAATAAAACCCTTTAACATGAACTCTAAAGTACACATAAATATAGTTAAAACATTTGAAAAAAAATGTCGATATTATTAGAAGATCATCATTAAATGAGAAGCACGGTGAGTGATGAGTTCTGTTGTAAAGTACAGAATTTAACATTTAATTAAAAAGTTTAATTCAGACCTTTTTTTAGGAAGGGGATTAATGAGAATCAAGTTGAATAAAACTTTAAAAAAATGTAAATATATAATTAAAATGCAGTCTTGTTTAACCAAACTGACAAGCTATGGTAAAGGATGATTCTACCGATCTGTTATATCAACTGAAATGAAAGTTGTACTCTCACAGGGGAGCTAAATCTCTTCCCATACCTCCTGACAATCTCTGTCTAGACTGTCACAAATCAAACCCCGTTCCACTGAATGCCCACAGACTCCTCCTTTCTCTGCCTGAACACTGGGGGACGCTATTTTACGCACTGCAATCCAACCCAAATCCTGCATGAGCTGGAAGTTTTTTTTTTCTCCCTCTTTCCACGTCCAGTAATCTGACACCCAAAAAGACTCCGAGTAGAAGGATGGACCCTTAACTCGGGCTGGAAGGAAGGAAGGAGCAGTCATCCAACGAGCGCAAACGAGAGGGGCCGAGCAGAAGCGAAAAACAACCCCGTGGCTGCGGCAGCTGAGGAGCAGAGCTGGGTGCCTGCGCGTCCGTCCTCCCCCCCCCCCCCCAAAAAAAAGAACTGCCCGACCGAGTCAAATGATCTCAAAGCGACAAGTTTCACTTTCCACAGGCGGATGGGTGACTTTCCACGGCGCTTTGTGAGGAGGAGATGATGAAGAATTTTAGCAGCAGTCCCCTTAACAGCAACAACCAGACTCCCAACCACATCAGAGAGAGAAACAACAGAAAGTACAGCAGCTTACTCTCTGCGATACCGCTGCGATTCTCTTTGCGAGGTTATGGTTTCTGCATGGCTACGCTCTTCTTCTTCTGTTTCGGCTCCCTTTTCTATCAGCTGAACGGAGGACCCCCGAAAATCCTGCTGGACATCCGACAGTATCTCGGTAAGTTGTTTGTATTTATTGATTTAACTTTTCCTGCTGCTGGTTGTTGCGCGTCATCATCAAAGAGATTCTTTGGGATACAAAGTTGCAGTGCATGTCTAGACGCCCCTAAGAGAAAACACTCGTGCATTGCTGAATGAGAGGTGCACGAGTCTAGTTTCGGGAAATCCACCGCAGGCCAACGTGGCTGTCTTGATGCTGTCTTGTAATCAATAGTGTCCTCAAAATCGAGACATTTATTTGTGCACAGTTCCCCTTCTTTTTCAAAAGTTTACAAAAACGGATCAAATCCCACTCCCAACACCTGAGGGAAGTGCTCCCCTTTGCACTCTTTCAATATCAGTTCTGACTTGTCAAGCGCGTGGTTGGGACTATTATGGTAACAAGAACGTAGCAACTGTTCAGTCTGATACTGTGTGAGTGTGTGTGTGTGTGAGTGTGTGTGCTGACTGACACCTCTTCTTATGCAGCTGAGCCAGCTGGTGCGCTCCAGCCACACAGCGCTCATTACGCACGGCTGGCAACCGCGGAACAAGGCGCAATAGTGTTTGAAATGAGACAGCCAAGTTTTCTGTGTCTTCTGCTCGACGTTTCTATTGTTGATTAAGTGAAAGACGTGGACGTGTTTTCAGGAAAATGGGCCAAGTGTTTCTCTATCAAAGAGCCAAGTTACAATATGAAGTCCTGAAGGGGCATGTTTTTGTTTGGGTATGATGTGATT